CAGGACCGAATAGAGTGAAAAATAAAAAGGCAGGACCGAATAGAGGGGAAAATAAAAAGGCAGGACAAAATTTTTCATCCCCCCCCCCCCCCCATAAAATTCAAATGGTAGCTCCCTTATGTGAATTAAGAATCTTTTCTTTAACGAAGAATCTTCTCTTTAACGATGCACACCTCCCACTGAAAAAGAATAACAATAAACACATACACACAACTTACATACAATCAAATGCAACATTAGTAAAATATATATATTGACCGCAATTAATATTTAATCAAACAAATAGCGAGTAAATATGAATTCAGCTACAGTGGGCGATTGATGAGATATCGCGCCTTTATAAGTTTTCACTTCGACATTTTTTTATAAAGATATATGATATAGCCTCTTTCATAAAACGACTGTCTACGAAACGCTATACAGAAAACTAACGATCGTGCAACACGAACCCCGCCAAAAGCCGGGGTGAATTCATTTGCTCCAGAAGTGTAAGTAGTTCTTGTTCTACAAGTACCAAGTACAATGCCCCCGCTATCATATAACGTTATAAAGGGACATAACTAGAGAACTGTAAAAGTGACGCCACCTAAATTCGAACTTGATCAGAAAAATTTTTGGTAATAAGCATTGTATACAAGTTTCATAACATTTGGTTGAGGCTAACTAAAATTAGAGAACGGAAACGGAAAATTCAGCAATTTTTATTCATTTGTAACGGGGCATAACTGTAGAACTATTAAAGTGACGCCACTCAAATTCGAAATTGATCTGTGTTTTGTGGTAATAAGCATTTTGTATAAGTTCCATAACATATGGTTGAGGAAAACTAAAGTTAGAGAACGGAAAATAATTTTGGGACGTACGTTACTTTATGCCCCTCCGCTGCGGATTTCCTACAAGAGTCTTTACATTTCCGGACTGAATATTCAATCAATTTAAAATTAATGATTGATTGGTAGATTGATTTTTATTTGCTTAAGTCCAGTGGCAAATATGTCATGAATATTAAGGACGAGAACACATTATCAATAACTTGAATACGTTGGTTCTGGATAGTGGTCCGACTGCAATATCCCTACGCTTGGCGTCGGATTAAACGTTATCATTATGACCGAACGTGGCTTTGTACTTATACATCCCGCACATCCAACCAAACGGACGTCCATCTCTATCATGGGTTTTACTGCCAAACGGGAGAGGAAATATGTCCCACATGCCAACATGTCTACACCCCAGTCAACCCATGCGGTCCAAAAGTACTGATACAGTGTGTATTTAAAAAAGAAATATACAGTTACATGATTATGTAAACAATGTGTGAAAATAAATAGTTGCATGTACACTCAAGTAATTACTATAACCAATGGTGTCACGTTTTGCCATTAAGGCTAAACGTTGATGTACATGTCTTGATTTACCGTCAACCGGAAAGTTCAGATCAAATATTTTTGGGCACGAAAGGTGTATAAGGGACTATATACATGTATAATCATAAAAGGTCTAAGAGAAAAGTTTAAACTACTTATGATCAACTTTGACTGAGGGAGTTGCAACCTCCTTTTTTTCTAACATTTACCAAATTTTTCAGTTAAATATTCAAAATTGACATTTAAAGTGAAAGAAGATTGGTAAATAAGTACAATGTAAGTAAGCATTCATTTAAAGTCGGCATATATGTACGCAATGAGCTCTGATGAGGGCTTTAACTAGGCCGCTAGGTCACCTGCATTGGTATAGACTTAGTTTTAATTGATGAGAGCTATACTAACGCTTTTTGCATTGCGTGATCTGCATGTTATTAAGAACTTGTTATACAGTGAATCTAAACTTCTTCTTGTATAGTATGTGTTAGTATTCAAAATTCGTTTGACATGAAATATGATTAGTATAAAAAAACGAATTATTTAAAATATTCAATAAACGTCTAATAATTGAAAGCCTGCATTTTGAATATGTTAAAAAATTGCCCAAAGGCATAAAATATAAAAGATATGTTTATGTGAATATTTAAGTACAAGTATAACAGTTAAAAGTGATTATTTAGTTGTCCCGATTCTATTTAATGTATAGCTCTTATGTGGATGATTATTACATATAAATTATTATTTTTATTCGTATGCAGTGACAGTTGTGAAGTGATCAATTTATAAAAAAATCTCATAATTGCAAATCGCTTGAAGGAATACAAGCGGTCTATTCTGTACTTATTAACCATAACGGAAGTAAAAACAAAACGTAAGAAAATGACTAAATATTAAATCTCATAAATCAATTTAAATAGAGCAATGTTACATTAAAAATCAACAATACTCTTAATTGACACTAACAATGTGCTGGAAGAAATTACATACGATGCGCCATCGGTATAAATACATATTCTGTTTCCAAACTTCGCTGACAGAAGCTTGGACATAGGATCTACCTTTCAATCATATTGAATCATGAAAAACATGTAAGCAATACAGTGTAGCGTGTAGGTGTAAAAGAAAAAGGGGGATAACTACTATCTCAGGAGCGACGAATAAGTCAACACCACGAAAAAAAAAAAAGAAAAGAAAAAAAGACGAACTGACAAACAATAGTCCACAAAACCTTGTACACAGTTAACTTAAACTTGAGTAGCGCGAAAAACCCAAACAAAAACAAAACAAACTCAACGGTGGTTATAGAGGATATCTAGCCAGTAAATGTTTTGTGAGAGTTATAATGGTATGATGACTCTTGAGGTGGGGGAAGTGTGACGGGATTGCTTCCCTCGAGTAATTGCTAGACACTTAGATAGCCGTAAGCGGTTGAGCTAGGGAAGTACTTCTTTATATTAGCTCAGTCGGGTAGAGCGCTGACATGTAACATAGAGAACCCGACGGGTTCGAGTCCCGGAGGCGACAATGTGATTTTCTAATAAGAATCAGGCTCTCCGGTTTCCGAACGGAGTTAAATTCTCAGTAACTCTCATTCTAATCTTTTATTAATAACATTATGATAATTTTCAGTATATATTAATACGTTATGGCAACTGTACTGTAATTGTATATTATAAATAGTATAGTAAATGCGCGATTTGCCCTCAAAGCGTTGTCGACGTCTTTGATATGCTAAGTTCTTACTAACCTATATATGTACGGTTAAATAGTTAGGATTTCGAGGGTTATGGTTACTCTCATTCTAATCTTTTTAATAAAGGTTGCGCTACGAAGCTCCTTATCGTCCATTTAAATTTAAAGTAAATTAAAAAACAATCATTATATGTGCACTCTCATAGCATAATACAATAAATTTACATTGGATACACATGTACACTTTCTAATTCTCATTTGCTTTACCTGGGAAAATATATCATATCAGCTATAAATATTCTTTGATTTGACATCACCAAGACAAAACGGTCTTAAATGCGGAAAAAAGTAAAAAGAAACAGACATCCCAACCTTGTTTTTCTAAATTTTACCCAATTAAGTGATCATCATTGACCTTGAAAAGTAAACCGGAAGTGGTGCATTTTTTTCGGATATTACTATTCGTTTTCATCTGTTGCTAGCTTTTTTCTCGCTAAAATTTATTTGCACTTTTGTATTAGATTGATTCCTGCATTTTGTGTCCTGTCTTATTACAGGCCAGAATAATTTTCTGTTTTTACCAGGCCAGGATATTCATTTTCAAAATCATCCCCCTCCAGAAATCAAATGGTCGTCCCCTAAAAGGTGTGTTGAAATTAGAAAAAAATGTAATCTGTTAGATGGATTTTATTGATAATTTCTGCGTTCTATCCTTTAAAAACCTTTGATACCTTTTGTTGCGTTAAATGTTAGAAATACTATAAGGAATTCAAGGGTATTCCAGATCTTCAACGACTCCTGACTCTTCGTCATAGAATTTTTTGTATTTTAAAATTGCATTCCTTTTAAAATAGCCAGTCGATTTGTCGTCCTTTAGTTTCGAGATTCATTTCTGGAACTTTATTTGTTATTATTGATGTGCAATGACCACACACACGTTATTGGCAGTAATTGACACAATCTATTACAAATAACAACACATATAACCAGATAAACGATTAAGATATATTAATGCAAAGTGAATAGATAATCAAATGCACGTAGTCACCTTTTCTGCATTGTAATAAATGTTTGCTCACACTAATAACCGAATTAATTTATGCTGAATCATAAACTCTATATATCCGAGTTGATGAATCTTGTATATTGCACTAGTATTATTTTTTACATGTTTTATGTAAATGTAATTTGATATCCTGCATTTATCATGTATACAAAACATAATGTAGACTCCCCTCCTAAATTATTGAAATCTATCATTTTGCAATTAACCATAATGCATTGGGGAATAAATTGCCCCATAATCATAATATATATGTAAATTTGATACACCCAAATCGAGCTACCGACCTAATGGGTGCATTTGATTCTTGTGAAAATAGGGGCTGCGCGACTTCGCTGTCAATAGAATTAAGTTTAGGATAGATAGAGATTCTCGGAATATGATATGGCTTTTTCAATATCGCACCCGTATCAACCCGAGACACCAATATAATCCCAAGAGCTCTCTTCTCGAGGGATCATATTGGTTAAGAGCTGATACGGTGTATGATATTGAAAAAGCGATATCATATACATAATATTATATACATTTACCTCAAGTACAACTAATCAAGATGTTTTTCACGAGAGATGACGTTATACATATTAGGGGTTTGATAAAACCTTTGCAACCCATTCGTCATAACTCGGCCGATTCCGTACCTCATAGAAGGAGAGTAGCGGAGTCACCCGAGGATTGCCGATTGCTTTGCAACCGTGACAGATATAGATTACGTGACGTCATATATCAGGGGTTTGATAAAGCCTTTGCAACCGTGACTGATTCTCCAGCACGATTGCCATTGATTGTACCTAACATACAATTTACTTGTATTTACCACTAAGTATGTTATAAATCATGTTATATCATATTCTTTCTCTCTTTCTCTTCTTGACCGTGTTTATGCCAAATATCTGTTCAGCTGCATCTGTAAGCAAAGTTCATATATTCCTTCTAATGTATTATGACACTATCATTTAACGCTTCGTCTAAATCATGAAGTTTTCCCCGCGATGTTGATTGTAGCTTTTCATTAACCTCTTTTATCTTTATCCTGGTTCACTGTGTCAAAGTGCCCCGAAAAAATCAGCGAGCTATTACTCCTGCCCCGGCAAAAAATGTTTGGACTCGATAGTATCTAATATCCAGTGAGGTGACGGACCCTACAGACAGAGAAGAGGTAGGATTTCTGTTTATTTATTTATTATTTGTATGACATTATAGAATATAAATACACGCATTACTATTTTCGATTGTGAGATTGAATATTTTCTACACCCGTTCTAGATTGATTGAGAAATCAGTAAAAAAAAAGAAATGCCAAATGATGAAAAGAGTGAACAACTTTACCTTGAATTTGTAAAATAATAAATTGTGCACATTATATAGAAAGAAGCGTACGAAAAGAAAGACATATACATTGGGATTACAAGATTCGTCACTTTTCGGACCTCAATAGTTGTATTTCTTTCTATGCATAGAACGAAAGAAATTGGGCGTGTAAAAATAGAAGGACCCGGTTTTGAAAATGTTGTTATCGACCGTTTTTGTTTCGTTTTAAAAGCACACATTTATGAAAAGCAACACGGATCTTTTCGTCGAAAGAAACTGAAAATAATGTATGTTATTTTAAAATATACCTGTCGTGTAAAGGTTAATTATCATGGGGATTTTTTCGAAGTAGGTAATAAAAAAAACATTTGTGTTCTCAAAATGTAATTAGTACATCTAGTTGCACTCATTATCTAATGAAATAATTAGTAGTGGAATACAAATACTTCATAACACTTGCAATTAATTCTGTTATTAATAACATTATGATATTTGTCAGTATATATTAATACGTGAAGGCGACTGCATAGTACTGTAATAGTATATTATATATAGTATAGTAAATGCGGGATTTGCCCTCAAAGTTATGTCGACGTCTTTGTTATGCTTACTTATGTCTTATTAACCTATATATGTAAGGTTAAATAGTTAGGATTTCGAGGGTTATGTATTTTTGGATTTTTTTGGGGGGTGATGAAATTGGTCTACATCAGCTGAACTTGGTTTTATCCTGCAATCGACCTTTCTACTATACTAATACAGGTGTACAGATAACACGAAGCGATATACGTATACTCAACGTATATAGTCTCCTGGTATCCTGCTTCTGTTGCCGCGAGCGAACGGTTATGTTAAATTACTGTTTACGTCACAGTTCAATTTGGGGTCCTCATTGCGGTCCGCGTTTTAGTCATGTCGATTTCTTTCAAAAACTTATTCAACGATTGGGATGGAAAAAAATGTACAAAATTAATTGCAGGATAAAGACAATAACTGTTTAGTGTCTTTAAATATCAGCTGTATTTGTACTCGGCTCGAAACAGGAGTAATAGCTCGCTGAAGCTCGCATTACACCTGTTTCTTAGCCTTGTACAAATACAGCTGATAGTTAAAGACACTAAACAGTTATTGTCTATATAAGATTACGATTCCCCAAGAATGTATTTACAATATTGTTAAGCATTCATAATACCGTCTAAAATTTTATTTTGTAATGACTTCAGATGACAGAAAATGTGACAATTGAGGGAGTAGACGAATCATATGGCATAATTTTGAGTACTTTGCTAATTTGCATTGCGGCTATATTGATTGATAAGTTTTTTTATTTTCATCTTCAAAATCCTCCTGTCCCCTAAGAAAATCAAATGGTCGTCCCTTGAGCATTGTTCCATGCATAGAAATGTCAAAATTGAGGTACGAAACGTGACCAATCTTGCAATCTCCGTGTATATATCTCTTTCTTTCGATTCAAAGTGCACAATTCAAGGAGAAATTAAACAAATTCGATAAAAGGTTCACTCTTTGAATTTCATCATATAATGCCGTGTATTTTACTTATTTCTCCATAAATACAATACAGTTACGGGGGAGGGAATGACGTTTCTAACGTAAAATGTTATTTTTCGCGACGTCAAACTGTGACATATCGAAAAAAGATGCATTTTTCGACTGATTTTTTTCATTCATACTGATTTAACTTGAAAACGAGTTCATGGACCGCTCTTTTTTTAAAATGACATTAGGTTTGATTACGTATAAAGGTTATTTGTACCAATCTTTATGAAAAAGTCACCGATGATTTTTTTTTAAATTAGATAAATATACAGCAAAAAATGACGTTTTTTTCTAAAATTCTGCAACTTTGATAAAAATTAATTATTTCCAAAGAATTGTTATACAAATTTAGAGCAAACTTATGTAAAGAAGATTTTCCAAATGTTTTTACAAAAATCCGCTTGTGTTTATCTTTTGAAACAAAAAAGTTAGGTATGTCTATCCAAAGAATAGAAATCTTTAATGTCCAAACAACCGAAATTTTGAGTAAATATCTAAAACTTCGACCCCATTTATCTCTAAAAGTAGCACATGAAGGTTTATTTTTTATTACATATTTGAACTGCTTAGGTAAAAAATAGCTTGTATGCAAATTTTCGTCAAAAATTCACCGTGGGATCGAAAATGTATCGTATGCCCTTAACCTATACGGTCGTAGAAAATAGTACCTATTACAATCGAAAATAGAATTAATTGTTTCCTACAATTTCATACAAATAACAAATGATCAGAAATCCTACCTTTTCTGTGTCTGTAGATTGTACCTCATCGTACTGAAAGTCTGTAGATTGTCCCTCGCCGTACTGAAAGTCTGTAGATTATCCCTCGCCGTACTGAAAGTCTGTAGATTGTCACTCACCGTACTGAAAGTCTGTAGATTGTCCCTCACAGTACTGAAAGTCTGTAGATTGTCCCTCACAGTACTGAAAGTCTGTAGATTGTCCCTCACAGTACTGAAAGTCTGTAGATTGTCACTCACCGTACTGAAAGTCTGTAGATTGTCCCTCGCCGTACTGAAAGTCTGTAGATTGTCCCTCACAGTACTGAAAGTCTGTAGATTGTCCCTCACAGTACTGAAAGTCTGTAGATTGTCCCTCACAGTACTGAAAGTCTGTAGATTGTCACTCACCGTACTGAAAGTCTGTAGATTGTCCCTCACAGTACTGAAAGTCTGTAGATTGTCCCTCACCGAACTGAAAGTCTGTAGATTGGCCTTCACCGTACTGAAATTCAACACCATCGAGTCCAAACATTTTTTGCCGGAGTACTTAAGACATTGTGTAGTTTTTTGTATTTTTTCACGTTTCTGGTTGATGCCTAAATTATTGGTGTCTTAACTTTACTTTTCAAATATGTAGAAGGCAACTGGTGTTTTAAAGGGACACATACAATCTTAGTATACTGCAATAATCTACCCCATCAGAATATGAAGTAATCATAGAAAATATGGTGTATTTATAAGTATTCTTTCGACGGAATCATTTTAATGGTCAAATTTCTATTAATATTATCACAATAATTCCAATACACCATCCCCCTCTCTTAGCCATATTCCCCTGTGTTTCTGGTATATAAGTAGGTGCGAGGTCATCGTAATCTAGGTACGCGGTCATCGAAACCTGAAAGCATTTAATATAGTATTTATCTGATCATAAACAGATGGTCTTCTATAAACACCATGATTGTCTTCTATTGTTTGCAGTGTTGATAAAACATTTAATCTGTAACATCAGTTTGAAACGACTTGTAAATTCTTCTACTTTCATTTCCGTTTTCGAAAGAGTATTGTCTTTTTTGTGGAATCATTATATAAAACCATTTAACATACTTTGCCTTGACTTTGAATGCATTTAAAAATTGTTTTATGACCAGTGTAGTAAATTCGAAGGATCCTCGAAAGTTTATAGGTGTAGAATAAAAGTTGATTGATCAACCTAATGAGAACAATTTAATAGCCTTTCCAAATTCATAAAAATAGAAATATCCCATATCTAGATGCAGGTCATACTAGACATGATAGAGTTATCTCTGTATTTCCTGTGAGACTATCTGATAATATTGACCAAACTCTTATGGTCAAAGATAAGATAAACAGGTCAAAATCCTTAAGTATACATCTTCAGACAGTCTTAATAAACAATATTTAAAGAAGGACAATTTTGCATTCTTAATGAAGATTTGTGTCATGCGCCATAACTTCAAATCTGGAACTGTGATAAAGGAACTGGTTTACACGTGAGAACCTTTACCGAAGATAGACTTCACCAAAAACTATCAGATTTCATAGAAGAACAATGAAACAAAAGTTAAAGTTTGACGATGTCATTGAACTACTTGGTGGTTTTGGGACGTACCAGAAACGTTTATATTTATTGGTAGTGATACCAGCAATGTGGTGTGCTATCATGACTATTATAACAGTGTTTACAGTTGGAGAACAAGATCATAGGTATTTATACTTTTTTTACTGTAGGCGAACAGGTTCATAGGTATATATACTTTTTACTGTAGTCGAACAGGATCATGGATATTTATACTTTTCTATTGTAGTCGAACAGGTTCATAGGTATATATATTTTTCTACTGTAGTCGAACATGATCATAGATATATATATTTTTCTACTGTAGTCGAACAGGACCATATGTGTATATATACTTTTTACAGTTGGAGAACAGGATTATAGGTATATATACTTTTTACTGTAGGCGAACAGGATCATATGTATATATACTTTTTACTGTAGGCGAACAGGATCATAGGTATATATACATTTTACTGTAGGTGAACAGACTCGTGTGTACGAGTAGAGTTGTCATTTGTTTAGACGTACTTATCAAATAATTATTTCGGTGACTGCATCTTACGATCCTCCACGACAGATACTTTAGCTAATCTGCAATCAATTCCATCTTCATGCCTAATATATCATGTACTGTGTTACAACTCTAGATTCTACTGACAAGGAAAGGTAACACTAGGCCACCGAAAGCTGAAATTTTAGTTCAGTCTAGGTGGCCGAGTGGTCTAGAGCGCTGGAAACAGTGCAGGCGGGGTTGTCACGATAATCCAATAGCAGGAGTTCGAATCCCGGCGAGGGAAGAACAAAATTTGCTTCCTCAAATTTGCAGATTTAACATTGTTGTGCTGATATTTAGAGTAATTATATATATATATATTATATATACGTTTTACTGTAGGTGAACAGGTTCATAGGATTACATGTATATACGTTTTTACAGTTGGTTAACAGGATCATAGGTATCCATACTTTTTTTTACTTTAGGCGAACAGGATCATATGTATATATACCTTTTTTACTGTTGGCGACAGTTTCATAGAAATAAAAAGATGTGGTATGAGTACCAATGAGACAACTCTCCATCAAAGTCGCAATGTGTAAAAAGTAAACAATAATAGGTCAAAGTACGGCCTTCAACACGGAGCCTTGGCTCACACCGAACAGCAAGCTATAAAGGGCCCTAAAATGACTAGTGTATAACAATTCAAACAAGAAAAAAACGGTCTAATCTATAAAAAAAAACGAGAAACGGGAATGGCTATATATTCTTTTTCACAGTTGGCGAACAGGATGATTGGTTTATATTCTTTTCTACTGTAGGCAAACATGATCATAGGTATAGATACTTTTTTACTATATATGCGATAATGAACTTATGTTCTGTAGCCCATCAGGATCATAGGTATAGATTCTTTTTTTGACTATATGCTAAAGTAATCACATATATACTGTAGGTATAGATTATTTTTTCTTTACGCGAACAGGAACTTCTTTACTTATATGCTAACGTGATCATATTGGTATAGATCGTATGCACTGTAGGCGAACAGGTTTAGCTAAGGGATAAATTATTCTGTACAGTAGGTGCACATGATCATGGTTTTATGACTCTGTATTGTAGATGAACAGGATCATGGATATTCAATTTTCTTTGAAGTTTAATTTATGTATTGATTGGAAAGCTTCCATGCTAAAATATATTAGATAGAAAATGTTAAGTCTATTGTTTTGTATGTATTAGACAGTTTCCATTGAAATAAACATACTATGCTGTAAAAGGATTATCATCTTGAAGAATTTTGCATTGGAACATCAAACAGTTTTAAAAAAAATTGACAGAAACTTTTACCGGATCCATTGTTCGTAATACTTATAATATATGAAATAATTTGTTCGTTCGTTTTTCTCTCTCTCTCGGAAAAAAGGGAGCAGAAATTGAGTGAGGACTTGTCACAGTAAGCAAATTTATAAACTAATCATTACTTGTGTGAGTGTAGTTGAGGATGATTATATATATATATATATATATATATATATAGATTGCCTAACAATGTAATTTTAACACACTATTTAGTATGTAAATATAAGAAAGTTTAAAATATTTACAAAATGATGAAAATAAACGCAATATTTCGCTAGACTAACTAGCTTTATCAAGCGTGCATCTATCCAGGTGAAATCGGATGTAGATGATAAGAAACTTTTGCAGCTCAATGTATATGTTGCACTTGAATTTAGCTGCCTTGAAAATAATACATAATTTGGATGAAGTTCAAGATTTTTACAAAATTGGTAGTTGAAGTTAGCAACGTCCATTGGCCAATATTACAGGATAAAAAGGACGATGCTGTGTACTAAATTATTCTTTATCTTTCCTGTATCTTTTCTCATCTGGTACAAAACCAACAAAAACTGTCCTCTCACAAGACATCTTCGTTCAACGAAACATTCTTTTGATAATGTTACCTTCCAAATCATAGAAGTCAACACCGAGTGGGACACCACGGCGAGAAGGAGAAGAGAAAATTTTTGGATCAACCAACTCCACACTTTAGAACCTTATGGTCTTAACGAAAAAGATGAGAAAAGATACAGGAAAGATAAAGAATAATTTAGTACACAGCATCGTCCTTTTTATCCTGTAATATTGGCCAATGGACGTTGCTAACTTCAACTACCAATTTTGTAAAAATCTTGAACTTCATCCAAATTATGTATTATTTTCAAGGCAGCTAAATTCAAGTGCAACATATACATTGAGCTGCAAAAGTTTCTTATCATCTACATCCGATTTCACCTGGATAGATGCACGCTTGATAAAGCTAGTTAGTCTAGCGAAATATTGCGTTTATTTTCATCATTTTGTAAATATTTTAAACTTTCTTATATTTACATACTAAATAGTGTGTTAAAATTACATTGTTAGGCAATCTATAATTTTATTTGTGTAATTGAATTAATCTCTGTACTGATTAATCCACACTCCCATAGATTTGTATGTCATGTGCTGCTATTTATAGGCACTTATATATATATATATATATATATATATATATATATATATATATATATATATATATATATATATATATTTTACAATTCTTCTCAAATTTATAAATATAATCAATCGATGGTTGATTTTTGGGTAGCTTCATTTCAGTTTTAAATCAGACATCTGAATTGTATTTCATTAAAAAGGAGGACAAAACTAACAAAAAATAAGATCAAATAAAACATAAAAGTTGCCAAACTCTACACTTGTATATCAATTACCAATATAAAGAAAATATCAATATTTCATTAATAAACGTGTATATTCATATTTACACAAATCTTTTAATTAACAAACTTTAGTAGCGTTTTCTATTTATTTTAAATTTATGCAAAACAAAAATGATTGATTGTAAATCATGTTACAGGTGTGAATTAAAAATATCGTTTGATACTATTACGTAATGGAGATACATGCATGTTTTCTTTTTTATAAGTATACCAAACATTCTCTTTAAAATTATGCAAAAATATCTATCTGTAATTATTAATCATAACAACATTTAACTGTCATTATAGGGAAAACGGTACTATTACATTTTCCCAGCATTAGGTTGGTCTTTTGTGTACCCAAGGCAGGTGAAGGAAGTCAGCTTAGGAGCGCTGTGATTGGATGTTAGGGTACAATATATTTTTTTATTTATCTATGAATAACTGCAGTGTGTATATTTACAATATAAATTTTGAAACCTATTGAAATATTTTCTAGAGAATTATTCGAAAAGACTTCAAAAATTTCATAAATTTGGTGTAAAATGACGGTGGGCATGGATAACATTAACAAGCTCCATTGGAAGTTGGTCATGATACTATTTGGCTTCAATTTTCAAAACAGAATAATAAAATACTAACACCACACATAACTGTTTTATCGGGGTTTTTATTATAAAAAGTGGTAAATTTAGAAAATGTTAGTATTGTCGCCTATGGCAGAATAAATAGTACCGTTTTCCCTATACTGAAGATAGCAAGGGAAATCAAAATCAATCCGACTTCAGTTAAAGTATACTATTTTGAAGCTTTTGGTTAGTACATTTGATTTTTATCACAAAGAATAGAATTTTTTCACTGAGAACAATACTGTGTTGAGAAAAGTGCTGAGTCATCATAATAAGTCAAATTGATGGGTACTGATATAAAACTTTATTCTAGGATTTCAATATTAACTATATTGTATAAAATGCAGCAAACTATAGTTCTTTTGTATTTGTTTTCACCTTTCGCAATGATTAATTCAATTGGAAACACCAGAATTCAAGTCGCGACAAATATTTTTAACTGAAATATTTGCCTTTTTTGCTGTGTAATTCCCTAAATGTATCACTTGGGTATTTCTGTAGACATAATCTATTCAAATGGGAAATTGTCTGGTTAAGTTTGTACTGTTTATGGAGTAAGGCAACATTTGGTCATACAAGAAGCATTTTCAGTGTTAAAATTGTCCATCTAAGAAAAAAAGAGGCCCACTTGAGGCTAAATTTAGATAGAATTTATACTCTCCTGTGTAAAGAATTGGTCATATTCTTGGCAATTCATGCAGCAAATATTTCAATAGTGCTTCATTTTGTAGTTTCTATCTTTTAATATATCAGGCATATATAATTTTTCATTTTCTACTGTTTGAAAGGACTTTTGTTGGAAATTAATACTCCCAAGGGACATAATTCAGCTTTTTCATAGATTAATACAGGCAACAAAGGCAACTTTACAGCTGAGTATTTTGCATATTTAATGTTGAAAGTGTCTAATATCTTTGTTCTCATCATCTCAAGACAGAATAATGGATTTTATAACAAGCTCTGAAATTTTGAACCACAATATGGCATATACTAAAGCATGGAATGGAGATTAGTATGAAAAATCTTGAGTTTGTGCTTATGTTGTAAATTTTGGATGAAATGAATACAAATTGAATGGAACTGTTATTTTTATCTGTTTAAATGGAACTGTTTATTATTCTTTTTAAATAAGATAAGATATGATTGGATACAGGTTGTTTATTAAGCCTTATCTGAAAGAAGTAGAGAAAGAGGTAAACCAGCATGTAGGGGTGGGGACATTAATTGATCCATGTTTCTTTAAGTAATGGGAACATACAAGTATTTATTATAGCCAAGGTTTTCACAATAACCCAGTATTGCATTAATGGTGTCAAAAGAATTCTTTATATCTTTATGTCACAGTATAGGGAAAACGGTACTATTACATTTTCCCAGCATTAGGTTGGTCTTTTGTGTACCCAAGGCAGGTGAAGGAAGTCAACTTAGGAGCGCTGTGATTGGATGTTAGGGTACAATATATTTTTTTATTTATCTATGAATAACTGCAGTGTGTATATTTACAATATAAATTTTGAAACCTATTGAAATATTTTCTAGAGAATTATTCGAAAAGACTTCAAAAATTTCATAAATTTGGTGTAAAATGACGGTGGGCATGGATAACATTAACAAGCTCCATTGGAAGTTGGTCATGATACTATTTGGCTTCAATTTTCAAAACAGAATAATAAAATACAAACACCACACATAACTGTTTTATCGGGGTTTTTATTATAAAAAGTGGTAAATTTAGAAAATGTTAGTATTGTCGCCTATGGCAGAATAAATAGTACCGTTTTCCCTATAGCATCTTCCTTGATGAAAAACAAAGCGGCATAACTCAAGAATAACTTTGTAAAAATATCTGAAATATGAAAGGCCGCTTACGAAACTATTATTTATGGTGCAATATAAAGAAAAATAATGGATCATTCGCTCAAAATAGAATGAAAATTAAGAGTTGAATGCTAATTTTCTAGCCGACAAATATATAGAAAATACGAATAAACCATCATTTGCGAATTTTAAAAATGTTTTTAAAACATAAATGAGGGTGTGAATGGGGTTTAGAGAATAAGGATCCAAAAGTACACAATAAAGAATACAGAAAAACATGCCAAACAACAAAGAAGAGAGAATAATGGTGTATAAAATGTAAAGAAAAAAGAATAATGGACAAAAAATCAAAGAAAAGAGAAAACGGTACAAAAAATTAAAGAATACAGACATGAAGACCCCCTATCCAGACCCTCATAAATCTCTGTTAAAAAAACACATTACGTGACAACTATTTAGCACTTAAATATTGATATTTCAATTATTTTACAGAAACAAGTTCATCAAAATATTTACTGATTTTACGAAATATTAGACTAAGCCATCTCTATGAAAGAATATTATCACTTAAAGTCTTTTAAATAATGCGAATGAAGTATCAATGTTAATGTAACATAAAATAATGTCCCCCATGAAATATTGTCCGTCGAACAAAATTTCATATAAAATATTGTCCGCGGACACTATTTCATCATGCAATACTGTCCAGTACAATATTTCATTATGAAATAATGTCCTTGTCCATGAAATTTTGTCACCTCCTTTTGGACAATATTTCACTATAAAATACTGTCCATAACAATATTTCTTAATCTTATTATGTCTTCCCTGAGGATTCCTCTGCCATGAAATTGTAAGTGTTTCTGTATATTTAAAAAAAAAATTTCATGAAAAGTATGCATGTATAACCATAAACTGCTGCATACATTAATTAAGCAGGTTTGTTTGTTATTATCAATCAAATAAAACACTTTAATGATATCATTATCTAAAATATTAAATGTCTATAACCTCCCTTTCATCAGACAAAATTTCATAATAATCCATTTATGAAATAGTGTCTCAATATACAACCTTGGATAACCTCCCTTTAACAAGATAAAAAATCATACTATTCATATCTATGAAATATTGTCTGTATATGGTCAAAATTTCATATGGAAATTGGTCCTTCTCTGGACATTATTTCATAGATAGGGACAAACTTTCATGATACAAAGTAATGAAATATTGTCTTTGGGGACAATATTTCATAGGACAATATTTTGCTTTACATTAACAATAAAAGTTTGATTGGCCGATTGGCGTAGAAGGATATATCGCAGTGGTATCATTTAATTATTTCATTTCTCATCAGATGTAAGATTCCAGGCCTGGCAAACGATTCTTATAAGAGTCATGATGTATACACCAACAAGTCTTTATCAAAGCTATTAGATGAGGAATGTTCAATAGTTGTAAACAATACAGGAAATATAACAAAGAAATGTGACAGCTGGGTATACGATACATCTATCTTTACGTCAACATTAGTATCAGAGGTGGGTATTAAGTACACAATTGAGATCTACCATTGAACAATTGGAAAATAATTGCACTATTTTACGGTGTCTATCCGACCAAAAATACATAAAAAAGGTAAAAAGGAATTACCAAAATTACTGGACAGCACACCAGACCACATCAACAACCAGCACCCGACTTCTCCGAAAAAACAAATAACAGACAAACAAACAAAGACAAACAACAACAAACAACACACGTCCAGTTAGCCCGACTTGGTACAGGCACAAAATATGGTGGACTAGAAGTGCGCACAAAACATTCCTTTACCACTTTGCTCAGTCTACAGGAACCTACTTAATAAGATAGCTACAATTAGGTTAGATAGAACATTTTTAAGAACCTGGAAGGAGAGAACATAGCAATCTTTAGGACAAAGCGGCACCCATAAAACAGTCATATCCTAAGTAAAAAAGGGTACCTGAATTATTTTGTCTGTTTGAAAGTTCAAATAAAAATAGGGGGTCACGGGCATTCTTTTCTTGAAAATCCACAAAACACAAATTGTCCTAGCAAATTCAGTATAATTATCCGCCTTTGATTTCAAAAGGACTTTTTCTGAAAATTTAAAAATACACTTAACGACACTTGATTTTTTGATAGTTTAATCTTCAAGTTTTAGATGTTTCTGTTGTGCATTGAATGATATTTGGTAAAATATATTTAAACCAACAGAGTATTTTTGAAACATGCCCATAAGAGATGATCAGAATAGAAAATTTGCAAATTATTTTATTTAATTTACATTTTAAATTGCAAATTGCAAAAAATAAAAACAACACTTTATACATTTCATGCGTCCAAAGCGCTTTTTCTGAACTCGAAATATTACTTTGCATACACATTTCCGAATTGTCAAATGTGGACCCTTTAAATACTCTAAACCAACAAATAACAGCAAAAGTGCTTTATCTAGATTTCATTATAGTCTTTAAAAACAAACTACAACATTTCAGGTATTCTAAAAGTAAGTAAGATATTTCATGAAATGGAAGTTGAATTACTGTAAATTGTCATAGACACTTTTCAAAGATTTTACTAAAATATGAAAATCAAACCAAAAGATGTCATACTACTATAAGTATGACATCTTTTGGTTTGATTTTCTACTACTATTAGTATATAGAGTATTAGTCACCATACAATGAATTAAATGGAACTATTCTGTATGCTTTACAGTTCGACCTTGTCTGCGATAGAACAATACTCCAGTCGCATGCTAGCATGGGAATATTTGCTGGGGCTTTAGTAGGATCTGCTTTATTTGGTACTATTGGTGACATGTGAGTATACATTTTCAAAAAGAAATATAATACCTGAACATGCATTGAATGTGTAATAACATATATGAATGACTTTTTTTCTCTGCAAACGTGTTGTATTTTCTTTTTTTAAATTAAACAAACATTTTCAACAATATTTGCAAAAACTATGTTTTTTATCAGAGACACTGATTTTATGAGTTTTTACATTTTCTTGACTTCGAATGTCAGATCCTTTAGCGTTGTAAACTCGTAAACTACAATAATAAAGCAAAGCATTCCACAACAATGGGCTATATATACCATTTTACTAATTCTTTATTTTGATAAAGATGTAAACATGTAAACCGTTTTATGTGTCATGCGTGAACTTAAAGTTTTCTTCCACATGAGATTCTAATGAATTACAGCTTTTCACAAAAGACAAAAAGCATATGACGTCATTTTTATACACTTGGTGCAATGCAATTCAATAACAAAAACGGTCATAATTTGAATGTTTTTTACCAATCAAACTTCTTTAAAAAACACAATATACTTAAACACGTTTTTTTGTTGTTGTTGTAGATTTGGTAGAAAAGTAGCAACTTGTTTGTCGTTGATGTTTATGTTTGGCGGACAGCTTGGTACAGTCTTTATTCCAACCTACTTCTCTTTTATAATTATGAGATTTATAAGCGGCATTGGTAGTATTGGCTATTGGAACAGTGCAGTGATTCTAAGTTAGTGATTTGAATTTACATGTCACGTGACAAAAATACAAGGTTACTGATGAAGAATATTTGTTATCCCAAATATCTATTGATTATTTAATAATTATTGTTTTACTTATTTTTGTACTGTATCCTTTAGAAGTATACTTATTGTGTACTTATGTCTTTCTTTCATCACGATGCGATGCCTTCGTCAGAATGATCGCTGACTATTACCAAGGTGTTCTATATATATCACGTAAATCGTAAAAATTATACAGTATAAAATAAGGATGATGGATGAATGACTGTTTAACGTCCAGTGGCAAATTAAATGCATATTCAAGACGGGAACATGTTAGTGCAATTATGAATATTAACCCATTCTATACTAGACTGATAGGCTAAGAGGGATTTTTAACGTGCAAGTTCACAAGGTAACAGTCCACATGAAGACATGTCACCCTACCCGGACTACACTATTCTGACTCCGAGCCGACCAGTCTTTTCTCTTACTTTTTAATGCCATGTGCTTAGTGGAGAAGCAATACCATATAAGGCAATACTAAGCCGAGACATCCATAGAACAATCAGAATAACGAGACTAGGTCAAATATCAATCCACCAACTTAACAAATATATTGTCAATCAAAACGTCAAACATTTAGATTCCTTGTCTAGGTTTGTCTTTACTTTTGTCCCTTTTGGTTTTATCAGCTCTTTAACATTTGTATTAGGAAATAAGGTTTAGGATTTTCAAATAGTTTGGCATCGAGCATCATTGAAGAGACATTAATTGTCGAAATACGCATCTTGTGTAGTAAAATTGGTACTGTTTATATTATTAACTTTGGAATTTTTGTTAATGGAAGCGGTGTTGTTCTAAATATAGTACAGAGTTATATTAGTCGTTACTTTTAATACTCGGTACATTATTGTAGGTATGGAAATGGCCAGTCCAAAGAAACGGGTATGGACAGGAATGTTAATAGAGGTAGCGTGGGCTTTTGGAGAATACCTTACCGTATTTATTGCATTCTTCGTACGTCAATGGAGGCATTTACAACTCGTGTTTGCTGCACCAATTGGAATATTTCTTATATACTGGAAGCAAGTATGAATGGGGTAACAGTAAAGAAGGGAGGTCTAGTTTAATGTATAATAAATCCATTTCAAATTCAAATTAACATTGGAGTTCAATGAACATTTTTTTTTTATCTTCAACAAAACAGTAATTTTCTTAATTTTAAAGCTTAATTTTGCTTGAAGCGTAAATTTCTCTTTATACAAAAAAAATAATATCCAATTATGAATTCATACAATGTTTACGTCGAAAAATCACTCTTTGCTTTTTTTTTGTTGTTGAATTATTGTTTCGTTGACGTGTTTTCGTGTCTTTTGTCATATTTTATGTTGAACAGATCATACATCTAGGCACCACCAGTAATGTTGTCAAATCAAAGTAACAGCTTAATCATCAATGTCTTCATATAAAGTAAATGTTGAAAGTAATAGCAATTATTTTTTATTCTTCATCACCTGTTTAATATAATTCCGGATAAACTTCTATCAATATTTGAAAGGAGAAAGATAGATAATTTCGTTTTATAATTTGCATACCTTATGTGTGTTAGAAATCATGAACATGTTTCCTGTTGTTTAGTAACAAATGAAAATATTAAATTTCTGGTATTTTCGTGCAATGACAGTCTAGACAGCACTTAACCTTTCACAAGCAGCATGTAAAATTGTAAATATATTCAAACAGACATGTTTGCAAATGCAAAGGCCTACACAGAAACTATTTGCAAAAAGTGCCAACTACATTAATTTTGTAGTAACCATTCTAATGCATACATTTTCAATTGTCTGAATAACTGCTTCCTCTATGTCATTATTTTTTCACATTCAATATAACTTTGTTTTTTTCTTAAACAGAATCCTAGATGAATCCCCTCGATGGCTAGTGAACAAAGGTAGAAAAGATGAAGCGGAGAAAATTTTAACACATATAGCGAAAGTAAATAAAACAGAAAAACTACCAGAAGATATCGAAGTTTGTGAAGATGATCAGCCTATAAAAGGATCTTTTTTGGTTACTATTAGAAAAGTTCTAAGATCAAGGGTCATGGTTATTCGAACTTTGATTATGTTGTTTAATTGGTAAGCACACTATGTTTTTTTCTTTCTTTCGTCTTATCTCTGGTACAAATAACGAAATAAATTATCAGTCATTATCCAGATTTTAAATCATTTTAACTAGTATAAGAGACTAGCTGCAACTGAGATGGATTGATTTGAAAAAAAATCACATCATTATTGCCAGTGATGATTTAATCGTTAAAGTGGAAAATATGTGCAATTTATAGAAAAAAGGGATACCGGATAGATTCCGAAAAGTAAAGAACTACTAGGAAATAACTAATCTACAAATATATTAAAGCAACGGATTTTAAATTGCCTTTTCTTTTTATACGCATGGTATGTACGACTATTGACAACAATAGTGAAATATATAAAAACTCATTTTTCCGGAGAGCTATTGTATAGTTGAACCAGCAAGAAGAACACTGGTTATGATTAAAAGCCCAGAGACCTTTAAACTGGTCCTTCAGTAAAGGTTTACTTGCGTTCTTATTTCCATTGTTCAAATACCAAAATTTTAGGCCTACATTTATTTTCACAGATGCAGATATGTACGCAAACCCCTGAGTTATTTCGACCATTCAAAAACATTTGCAACGAAAAAAAAAACAATAACATAATCTTTGTAAAGACACTTTGATCTATAATATATGTATAACACACGCAGAAAACACAATCATATGAAAGTACATTATATGAAAATTGAAACACAGTTGAAGTTACTGAATACGATGCATGCACTCTTTCAGTTTAACCCAATATGATTTTTCGTGGAACTGCAACTTCTGAATAGATTTAGTACAAATGACAAAATGCATTGTGATAGAAATAAATACATTACAGCGATCGACTAATAAATGTTAACATATTTTTGGTAGCTAGGTTCTATGTAAAACGAGTCTTATGAATTCCTGAGGAAAACATATTTTTATTTTATCCAATGAGATGTTTATTACAGGATGACGGTTAATGCTGGATATTATGGACTGACATTGATTTTTATCCAATTAGATTTGTATTACAGGATGACGGTTAATGCTGGATATTATGGACTGACATTGATTTTTATCTAATGAGATTTTTACTACAGGATGACGGTTAATGCTGGATATTATGGACTGACATTGATTTTTATCCAATGAGATTTTTATTACAGGATGACAGTTAATGCTGGATATTATGGACTGACATTGATTTTTACATCGCGATGACCGTGAGGGCATTCCGATGTATTGCTATCGCCTATATTTTCCATTACGTAACTTTCGTTTTGGGTTTGTAACCGATCTATAAACATGATAAATACGCGGACATTAAGGAGTGCAAAAGTAACATTCCTTATCGTTTGTTTTAAAAACATCTCTTCAAAGAATACTGATACAAATATTTTTGTTTAGAACATAAATTAATAATATGAAAATGTTTTGTCGTTAGATATATATGTATAAGTAAAAAATCATTGATAATATCTATGCACATGTACCGAAAAATTGTGTTAACGCACGCGGAAGAATATCTCATGAACGTTTTGCGGCAATCCCCGCAAGGACCGGTAACTCTGCATGGAATATTGGTTTTGCGGGAAAATATGAATGCCTACTCATATCCAATCTTTTAGAAAAATCGAATTTTTATAAAAGAGTGTCCATCATGCACTTGCACTGCACTTTTATTAGAATAGTAGAATAGAATGGTGTACAAATGGATGAAAATTATATATACATGTAACTGTTATATCAATATACTATATAACAACAAACCAGTGTATACTGATTTGTATCACTACAATATAATAGTTATTACGGTGAGGTTGAATTTCCGGTCATTTATTCATCATCCACGCACGAACTTGTCTCAGAAAAAAATATATATCTGTACATTAACCTCAGTTTCAGGTATAGAGATGTGATTTTTTTCTGAGACAAGTGCTTTTGACAATCCACAAGAACATGCGGTCACCCGATGTTCAGTACTTCAGTACTTTGATTATCCAAAGAGATTTTTATTACAAGATGACAGTTAATGCTGGATATTATGGACTGACATTGATTTTTATCCAATGAGATTTTTATTACAGGATGACAGTTAATGCTGGATATTATGAACTGACATTGATTTTTATCCAATTAGATTTTGATTACAGGATGACAGTAAATGCTGGATATTATGGACTGACATTGAACAGTGGAAAAATTGGTGGCAATGTCTATGTTAATTTTACCGTATCAGTTACTATGGAGGTAATAGCTTATGTCCTGTGTATTGCATTTTTAGACAGGATTGGACGACGGACACTTCATTGTTCATGTATGATTATTGGCGGAGTTTCTTGTCTCTCCTCAATTTTTCCAGTGATATTCGGAAACGAGAGTAAGTAAAGATAAATGTTTTTGTTATATCACATTTTTACCATTTTAACACTCAGCATTTGATAATATAGCACATACACAAAGCATCATTAAATAGATTTTCAATATAAACTGTCATGATATTTCATGGTAGTCATTATAAGGCAATTATTCTACAAGCAGAAATTTTATACATTAGCACGAAACATTGTAAGTAATATTTTGCAAATGAAAAGAGCTGAACATTTTTTTAAAAAGTAAGTTTTCTCGTTCTGTTATACATATATGTATGCGTATTATTTTTGTTTGTTTGAAGGTTTTCTTTTAATGTTTGATCCTATCAAATTCTCTTGTGTTCAAATGAAAAACACGTTTCTCTTTTATTTTAGCACATTATTGGATAATAATAACATTATCCATGATTGGGAAGTTGGGTATTTCAGCAGCTTTTGCCGATATTTATTTCCTAAGTGCGGAATTATTCCCAACATCAATACGTAGCTTTATATTAGGACTATTTTGCATATTTGGAAGATTTGGCTCCCTTGCATCTCCATATATTGCTGATCTGGTAAGATACATAGCTTTGTATTTGAACTGCATTGTAGGTTGGGGAGATGTGGTTGTGTGGTTTTTATATACATCACATATCTGGTGTGAGACGTAACACTTTATTAGGCCTTAGTGTCCTATATTGTCTGGAACTAATGCCTTATCTATTGACCCATATTTTGCATATTGTTTACATTGTAACACTTTTGAGTCGAATGTCTTTCAATATTTCACAATCATCGGCATTATCTGTTAATGTTGTACATTTGAATAATCTTATCATTTGGATTCATGTAGGTTCATGCGTTAAACAATAAATTTTCAAAGCAAACTTGCATTTTTTGTTTGTTGAAATGACATCAGTTTTACAAGTCTATTTATTGATTTACTCTGTATGATATAGACTTAATTACATTCCCTGTTGTGTTGTAATATGTACAAGAATCGTCAAATCTGTTGTTTATAGGCGCTGACTTTGGCAAGCATTTTTGAAAAGCTTTACAATTTAAGCATTCATTTTCTTATCCATGTGCCACGATCAGAAAAATAACACTTTTAAAATTTCGTGCGTCCGACGCGGCTTTCTGAATGTACCATTATCAGGAGCGCTCAAACCCAAAAATTAAAAGTCAAGTTTGTAAAAATACCTGAATAAATTATGACAAAAAGGGACATAAAAATAGCCGAAATCAGCCAAGGTCAACTTTGACTGAGGGAGTTGATACCTTACTTTCTGAATATTTTTTTAATTTATCAACAGAGAACTTGATTTGAAAAAGGTATACATCATGTCAGTATGGAAGTGAACATCATGGATGTCTAAATAACAATAAAATACGAAATGGTTACAAGCTTTACAAACTTATAATCACTGAAACATTTTAAAATATTGTATTCGCTACATAAATGTTAACCAATTTGTCCGTTTCATAATTAGTGGTCTATGAATATATCTTAGGGTTTGTTAATAGAGAGTTCGTTTGGTAAAGCATTACTGTTACTTGTCTTTGTATATTATCTTAGGGTTTGTTAATAGAGAGTTCGTTTGGTAAAGCATTACCATTACTTGTCTTTGGATCTATGATGCTTGGAAGTGGATTCATGGCTTTAACATTGCCTGAAACAATGAATAAGAAAATGCCAGAAACAATAGAAGATGCTTTAGCATTAAAAAGGTATAATTTTTATGCAATGCTGTTGTTTATTTCTCACTATGCTCTAGTGTATTTAATGTCAGATATTGCCTCATTTGATGTTGCTTGTCCTCACGTCTCGATTATTGAGCGCAAACAATCATGAATGTATTTAAAACAGGAATAATTTATTACTTTTTTCCCTGAAAAAGACATGCAGTTATCTTACGTGCTAGTTAACTCAACGAAGGAGTCAAATTTTGAAAGTGTTTTATCATTAAAGAATAACCCAATACACAGGAGGCAACCATAAACCATAAGTCGAAGAGACACGGACAAAAAAGAAATAAAAACTGAAGAACCAAACAAAGCTTAGTTCACATTCACAAGATAGAAAACTAAGAATTGAGCAACACAAACCCTGCAAAAACCAATAGGTGAACACAAGAACGACTAAGCAGCTCCTCGTCATAAACAATTGTTTGGATGAGTGATTCATTTTCAAAAGAAAATAACCTTCATAATGGTTATCGTTTGTTGATGTACATCATATTTGTTTTTTGTTTGTTGTTTTGTAACTAAGCAAGTCGATGGTTTTCTCGTTTTAATTGTATTGCATTTTGTTATGTGGGGCCTTTTAACGTTTGCTATATTGTATGGGTTTTGATCATCGGCGTTGAAGGCCGTACGATGACATATAGCTGCTAACATCTACGTCATTTGATCTTTGGAGGATAGTTGTATAATTGTTAATTATACCACATATCCTTATTTTGTATTCATAGGTGAAGTAAATTGTTCTTTAGCTACAATAAAATCAATAGAAACACAAAGGATTTGAGACTTACTGTGAATAATATAAATGTGACTGATTTTGGTTTAGATATTTGCCAATAAAAAGTTTCCAGAAATTCAATAAGTTTGTTTCTTTTGCAGAAATAAAAGAATTGACCGAAACAATCCCGAAGTATGTATGGAACTAACAAAGGAACATCTGTCAACATAAAATACACAATTAATGAATAACAACAATTTAAAGTACAGTTTGCAGGAAAAGGTTCGGAACCTTTTTTGAAAAACCCTCAGTAATCACGATAAAACAGTTGGTTATATATATATATTGGTGTTCTGCTTCCAATGTATGATATATTGACATAAATAATCTTAACGAATCAATACATATTCTTGGTGGCAGTTTAACCGGTGTCAAGTTTATATATTTAAATAATTGATATTTTTGAACAAGATATGATTTTTTGCGAAACAAGAGATTCGTAAATTCAACAACTTTTATGGACTTTTTTCAATTTACTTTGGAGTTCGATATTTTTGTTAATATTTTTGCATATGTGTATTGCTTGCAAGAATCAAGATTGTATTTTGAATTTCTTCTTTATCGGTTAATTTTCAACATATTAGGATGTAAGTATAGCTTTGCAATCTGTTGGAAATTATTATGAGCTTCATATGATATGTGTGTACGCACATGAATAAAAGCCATAAAGTACCGTCTACGTGAACCCTATTTATAGTACTTACCTTCTAGACTGATGTACCATGACATAAACGAATGCTGCTTATCATTTGTCATGTTGTAAATATGTTTCCTTTGCAATAGCATAATTAATGCTTTCTGGAATAAAGTATTCATTCATTCATTCATTCATATTTATTAGATATACATACACAATGGCATTATCAACAATTTCTTTTACTGCAGAATTCAAAAATAACCAAATTCTTGTAATACTTAAATACATTTTTTTTCATCAAATAAAACTCTTAATAGTTAAAGTCATAGCTATGGAAACTGAAAAATACAACAGTAAAATAAATAAAACATTTATTTTGTAACAGTTTTAAGTCTGCATATTTATTTAAAGACCCTGCACCCGAAATGTATCCCGTTAACTTTCCTGGCGCCTTAGGATATTTCCTTGTGTTGTAACTTAAGCCCCCAATTCCCAACTTCTCCAATATGGACAAATATCAGGGACGTTATAAGTTCACTTAAAAATGTATTACGTATATATGTTATTCTTTTTATTTGCAAATTCCTAAAAATTACTGTACACGGCCATATTACATTTTTTACTTTATTTTGTTATTACCAATCATCACGAATCAACAATAATCATTTGCTTTTGTAATATTTTATACTGCCCTTTTGGGTGTCTTTAATTGACAATAAAAGTATTGTATTGTATTGTATTGTATTTGAATTTGGATAAAATAGTTATATAGCAGTAGCACACAATTGCATTTAATTTTACAATGTTCAAATTATGCTAAATAAAAGTTGTTCTTGATTTTCATCGGCAAAACAAATAGGTTTTATAACCTTAACGAGCGTAAATTTTTACAATACCTTTTTGAGTAAAGTCTTGGCTCACATCTAAATACACCCAAGGGTGACTGGGGAATACAAATATGGTCACTACATGTCTTCTTCCGACCGGCAGTAAAACCCTTGCCAAAGTGGGGAGTCCGTTTGGCTGTGCGGGATGTACAAGTACGCAGCAACGTTCGGTCAGAATGGGGATGTTAAATCCGACGCCTCGTGTAGAGAGAGTGCCACGCTATCTGCACGTTAAGGATCCTTGCAACAACTCTTTGAAGTGTCCGTAGGTTGCAAGGCTAAATTTCTGTCCTTTCTATCCAATATACCCTCTTTTCTAGTGGCAATTCAAATTTCGCCGACCTACGGCCTCTATTACAGGAGCTACCTATTGTTTTTATTGTTAATTTGTTTTCGTCCGGAACATGCATGCAACATTTGCCACTGGACGTTAAGCAATCTACAATCAATCAGTCAATCAATCACATCTAAATATTATTGACAGGATCTTAAAATGATGCTATTTTGGCAGGTTTGTACTTAGTTCAATAAGTCTGAAGCCCTAGTACAAATATGGAAGGCAGAATTAAAAAATATAAATTATCCTGGATTATCAACGTATTTTTGATAGGCGTAACACAACGCGTGTCTTAACCGCCTCGGTGGTCTCGTGGTAGCCTCGAGTGCGGGAGGTCGTGGGTACGAACCCCGGCCGGGTCAAACCAAAGACTTTAAAATTGGTATTTGCTGCTTCTCCGCTACGCACGCGGCATTAAGGAGTAAGAGCAAAGACTGGTCGGCTCGGAGTCAGAATAATGTGTCCGGGTAAGGTGACATGTCTTCCTGCGGACTGTTACCTTGTGAACTAGCACATTAAAAATCAGGCTCAGCGTGTCTGTCTAATACAAAGCAGATTAAATATTCATATTACAAAGCAGAGAGAGAGAGAGAGATACCAATGGGCATACGAAATTATAATTCCAATAGAAACAGACAACACAATGGCCATAAACAATAACGACGAAAAGGCGAGAGAGAGAGAGAGAGAGAGAGAGAGAGAGAGAGAGAGGATACCAATTACCAATGGGCAGACGAAAATTATAATTCCAATAAAAACAGACAACACAATGGCCATAAACAATAACGACGAAAAGGCTAATGGTATTGCGTTTCTGAAATCAATAGACGAATTGTTGCTTACTTTAACTTGCAACTGTAACTAAACAAATGTAATGTTGATTATGTACTGCTATAGATTGGTGATATAATAAGAAAGATGGAGTAAAGTCAGTAAAAAGTAGTCAAGAAATTAAGATAAATTTACCAATATGTATTTAAAACATTATCAAGTTTTTAGTGTGAACATTTGCAAAAAAATAGTTTTGATAACTCGTCAGGAGTCGGGAGAGCACAAAAAAACCCTTTCGTATTCGTTCCTTTACGTACATTCTACACATGTATATATCTAAAAGAGGGACGAAAGATACCAGAGGGACAGTCAAACTCATAGATCGAAAACAAACTGACAACGTCATGGCCAAAAATAAAAAGACAAACAGACAAATAATAGTACAGATGACACAACATAGAAAACTAAAGACTAAGCAACACGAACCCCACCAAGTATGAGTATGAATGGTACATATTTTTTTTTTTAATATTCAGATGCAGTTCGAAATGCATACAAAATGTGCATTAAAATCAGAAATACCGTCCAATAACGTATCATCACCTTATTAATAGGATGTTGAGAATATGTTAATTATAAGAGTATTCAATAAAAGCGACAAATATCCTGGAATTGACATTTCCCTTGATGTTATCTGTTTTATATTTATGGTAGAAAATGAAAGAGAATATTCTATTTACACTACAATAATTGTAACATTATCTTTGATCATAATAATAATAACAAAGAAAGTCTACTATTTACAATTAAAAAAAATATACAAACCACTAAAAACGATCTTTTTATTTACATCTTGTTACACGACATGGAATTATTATATTGTGAATTAATGAAATTATACGTACTCGTATAAAAAGGGTACTTTAATTTACACTACAAAAGAAATAAAGGTAAGAGTTCCAAATGGCACCCCCCACCATACTAAAAGAACCTAATAATGTACAGTTTATTCCGTGGGGGTGCCATATGGAACTCTTTCCCATACGGACATTCCCAACATTAACTACACGAATAAAACATAATAAATCTACCAATATACAAATATAAACAATATTTGACGAGGAAAGGTAACACTAGGCCACCGAAAGCTGAATTTTTAGTCCAGTTTAGGTGGCCGAGTGGTCTAGAGCGCTGGACATAGTGCAGGCGGTGTTGTAGATATCACAATAGCAAGAGTTCATATCCCGGCGTGGGAAAAACAAAAATTTGCTTCCGCATTGTTGTGCTGATATTTAAAGTAATTATTAATTAAATATGTGTTTTCAGTCGTGTACCACTTTCACTGGTGATCCAATGGATAGAGTTGTCACTTGTTTAGACGTACTTTCAAATAATTATTTCTGTGTTTGCATCTTAGATCCTTTACGACAGATAATTTAGCTAATCTGCAATCATTTCCATCTTCATGCCTTATATCTCATGTACTGTGTTACTCTAGATTCTACTGACGAGGAAATGTAACACTAGGCCACCGAAAGCTGAATTTTTAGTTCAGTCTAGGTAGCCTAGTGGTCTAGAGCGCTGGACACAGTGCAGGCGGTGTTGTCACGATATCCCAATAGCATGAGTTCGAATCCTGGCGAGGGAAGAACAAAAATTTGTCTCCGCAAATTTGCAGATTTAACATTGTTGTGCTGATATTTAGAGTAATTATGGATATAATATGTGTTTTCAGCCCTGTGTGATATCACCTTCACTGGTGATCCAATCATGGAAGAATCTGTCGTAGAGTTGTCACTTGTTTAGACATACTTATCAAATAATTATTTCTGTGACTGGATCTTACGATCCTTTACCACAGACAATTTTAGCTAATCTGCATTAATTCCATCTTCGTGCCTATTATATCATGTACTGTCTTACAATTCTGTATTTGATTTAGGAATAATAAAATTATCTGATAATGAATGTCTTAGTATCCAACGACAACGAACTATCAACCATGCTTAATAAAAAGCGACGTTTTGGTTTGCGGTCCATTATAATTACAAGTTGAAAAAAAGAATAAACCACTAAAAATGATCTTTCACGACATGGAATTATCATATTGTGAATGAATTTTTAACACTACAAAAGAAACAAACGTGCATTATTTGAGTTGGAAAAAGGAAAGAGCTCCACCCTTTTTCTCATAAAATATCATTTGTGTGATGGTATACAAAAGTTCTCTGTTATAGCGACAAGACACTCTTCCAAAGAACATTTATGTCTTAGTATCCAATGACTACGAACTATCAACAATGCTAAAAAAGCCCAGTTTTTGGTTTGCGATCCATTATAACTACAATGTTTATGCATTTCAATAAATAAAATAAAATAATTAACGAATTATAAGTATGCATTCAATTATTTAGAACTTTGTGGCTACTATCAAAAACAAACAAGAAATTATCTACATTATCTACATCACATTGGTTGACCTCTCAGCTTATTTCTAATTGTTTCCCCAGTCTGATATACAGTTGTAGGTTTAGCATCATTTCCTAAATATAAATGCACTTGTATGAAAATCAAGGTGAAGTGTCAAAAACGTTTACGCAACGTCACATTCTATTCATAAAAATATAATAATTTCAGACTCCGTTATTGCACAAATATAAATGAATGCCCTTATTCTTTATATAATTTGGCTGCAGATTTAATACACACCGAACTCTGTTATTTTAAGCAAAAATGGTTTTTGACCAAAACCAAAGAAGTAAACCCAAACATTGAAATTTACTAAAAACCATCAATAGAAAGGTACTTGTTTGGCGCGCAACGCCCTAGAGGTCATGTGATATCATTTGGACCAATAGTACCGGTATCTTCTGTTAGTTGATCGTTTTCGTTTTCTGAATACGTGTAATGTTAGATATGAAAAAGGATTTATGTGTATGCGTCACCAAAACAACAACCCTAAAACACAATCAACCTCATCAAATACGTACTTATGTTCTCTGTACTTTTACAACACTGCATCTATGGTCGCATGCAATTGTTGTAGGGATCAGAATGCAAAGCATCCGCCCATGTCTAAAGCGTTCCGAGTCTTGACAAGTTGTGAATCAATTCAAAAGAGACATCTTAGATCTGTTACCTAAACAAAACAATAAAATGGCGTCTTTAAAGGGCAATACTTCGGATTGAATCAACAACCTACATTGTGGTAGTGTTTTGTAGGTCATATATTGATCCCGACCACAAGCAACGGACGGCCTTTAAAACTATTTATACAACCCCAGTTCGTCGTAAACCAGATCTTCCCGTTCGTCCTGGTCCTAGATTATATGTTTTTGCTTTTTGTGTCGTTGAGCTACTGCCTGATTGACGTACAGTTGGGAACAGTCCTAACTCCTCTTCAGAACTGTCAGAATAATCTGTCTTAAAACTGTTCTGAACTATTCTAGAACCGTTTTACCATAGAATAATTGTACCCTAGAACTGATTAGGGTAGAACTGGCCAAAAGTGTTCTGGGGAGAAATGTTAGAAATTATTCTAGGGGAAAACTGTCCAAAGCTGCTTTAGTATAAAACTGTCAGAATTTATCCCACGGTGAAACTGTCCAAAAATATATATAGGGGAGAACAGCTTCTGTCAGAAACTGTTCTCACAGTGTCAGGAGAACTGTTCTAGAGACTGTTTTAGAACAGTTCTTCTAACAGTTCCTGATGGTGTTTAAGAGAGGTTAGAACTGATCAAACTTGTATAACCCCGCATCTTTTTTCGTTCGTATTGATTAAATTTCCGTGTGTTTTTTTAGCGATGTCGTTTTTTTGGTGTTTATTTTTATTTTTATTATCTCTCTGGCATCTCCATATTATTTGTATATGATACAATAAAATCTATACATTCTATAGCTTTGTTTTATCATAATATTCATACCAATAGATCAATGGAGATAGCCATTGATTAGCCAATTGATTTTACAAGGACACATGCTTTATCTTAAGTTTTGTAAGTTTAAGCTGAGGTTAAGATGATTTATTCTTACCAACTTTTTGATAGACAACTTCGTATTAATGATAATACTTGTACTTTCATCATTATATCTCATTTAAGCTTTTGAAATTATCGCACTCATGTTACAAGCTTACTAGCTTTACGAGTGTTTTCATTAGGGCCACTCACAAACAAAAGAAAAAGGAAAAATTACTAAATTACAAAATGGAAATTATTGAATGAATTCCATTCTACTTTAGAATATCATGGAAACCATTGAGAAGAAAAAAGAAAAGTATTTTAGTGTGGTGAAATTATTTTCTTGTTGTCTATTTCAAACCTGTGAAGAGCCGTCCTTTATTGACAAACACTTCAAAAGCAAATAAGATCATCTTGGAACGTGAGCATTTAGTGTTTTACATGGTAAATGTCTTGGTAACCTATCGGATCACCTCGGGTAAAGACATTAAATGGCTTAAAGATTGATGCGTGAAGAAACAATAATGGCTCTCAACCGGAAACAAAAGAATCACAAACAATCAGACGCAAATAAATAATTTTATCAAAGTCTGAAACGTCACGCAATTACATGTGTATATTAATTAAAATACAGTTTAATTTTATACAATGCAATCGTTCTTCAAAATCATGGACAAAATATTTTACAAGTTTACAACGCGATGTTCGTGGATGATATTGGTTAGCGACAGAGTTGTGGACGTGTGTTGGTGTCGTCTGCCAAGAATATTCAAGAGATCGGGGAAAAAAATATTTTGTTGAAAGCATTTAAATATATATTGCTTTTATGAACATTTTAGAATGAAGAATCAAAATGTTCACAAATATAAAATCAATGTGAAAACTTGAAGGTCTGTTATGAATTTTTAATAATATTGGATATTTATGTAAAACAGTTCTTAACTTCGTTTGAAATATTCTTTGATTTACGCATGTTGGTCATAAAGTTGATTTTATAATGGAATCTCGTATGGATTTGGAATCAGTGTCCCTTGATTCAGAATTCTGTGGAACACCACTTCACAGTAGTCTTAGTTTCATAAGCGTCCAAAGTTTATCATCTGCTAGAGGATCAACACCTCTTACAAAACGTAAGTATCTCTAAATATATGATTGTTAATGTCCGTTCACTTTGGATGTTGAGACCGAAATGGATATATATATAGATCAGGTAGATGTTTTGCAGTACTGTTTCATAGTTTAGATTTTGTACAATTGATAAGTGGTTGGTTGCTTAGCCATGGCTAATATTTAATCGATATGCGAACGAAAATAAATCTAACAGTGTTCAATTGCTTAGATTCTGCACATTCGGAATTTCAGTTGTTTATTTGATATTTTTACCCCAAGGCGTTTGAATGTCGATACCTTGAAAAAAATGATTCAAATTTAAACGTTGAATTTGGGTTACTTGTGAAGAATCAAGCACGATTACGCATCGCCGCCCTAACCTACTTAAATTGTTATGTTTTCTAAAGGTGCATTAATATGGACAACATGTGAATATATGTACATGTATTATAATCTACAAATTGTTATCTGAATCTGTACGGGTTATACGTTGGTATTCACTATATATTTTTTTTTTGTGTGAAGCATCCTAATCAGTATTTGCCAATTTGAGTGTTTTTCTTCTTGAAACATTAAACTGTCATAATTAAATTTAAAGAAAAAAGTATGTGTTTCTTTTTACATGGTTTGCATAATTTATCAGATGAGTGTAACATTGCATTGAGAGCAGGAAGCTGTGGTACTAATCCCCGGCCTGACCAAACCAAGTACTTTAAAATTGACATTTACTGCTTCCACCAAGCAAGCGACCTTTGGGACTAAGAGCAAAGACTAATCGGCTCGGAGACAGAAAAATGTGTCCATTTAGGGAGACATGTCACCTTACAGACTGTAACCTTGTGAGCTTTCAAGTTAAAATCTGATTAAGCATGTTAGGTTTTTCTCATATTACATGAACATAATATCGTGCTGAATATGCATGTAATATTTGTCGCTGAGCAGGCATCAATTGTCAGTTAGTACTATTAATTACAAATTTGCAGTTAGTGATCATTTGTTTATAAAAAAAAATGTATTTATAAAGGTAACATTTGTACTTCAGTAAAGTGAATTGTCAGTTGTATTGCTTTCAATACCGCCATACATTCACTTGCCTGTCCCCAGTGAGGACCCTTGTCAGTGGCGGTCATGTATCATATCTTAACGTTTTTGCGTCTTGTGTGAGAATTTGGTGCTGATGATAGATTTTTGATAAATTTATTCTCAACTTTTACGTCTTGTGTGAGAATTTGGTGCTGATGGTAGATTTTTGATAAATTTATTTTCAACTTTTACACACTAGGGAAGATTTAGAGCTTAACGTATAGACAACTATCTTTTCTTAAGTCTTTTTATTAGCCTCCAGATGTCTTTTGGGGTTTGTTTGTCGTTGGGTTGCTGTCTCGTTGACGCTTGTGTAACACGTCATTTTATTAACAAAAAGATTTAATTATGGTAAAGGATCATTTGAACTTGTTTTTGTCACTAGACGTAAATCAAACAACAACCAATCACCAAATCTGTCATGTTAGTCAATGTAATACTTAAACGATTACTAAATTGTCACATTAGTTTTATTTCATTTGCATTCTCTGATCAAACTTAAACATCGGTGAATAATTTAATTTTGGATGTAACACGTCTTCTGATTGGCTGAAAGTGTTTTGTCTATCATCTCATAGACATAATTTTGTCATGTGACCGCGACGTCATCAACGTTTTTATCATTATTTACTCCTTTTTAGAATTAAATTATAAGGAATGACTGTAATATTTTTTCTGTCTATGAAGAAATAACATAAAAATGTGGTGCACACTGAATAACCCGCGTAACCTGGAATAAAATTAACGGTACCAATTTTACTGCACCAGATTCTCATTTCGACAATCAATCACAGGCACTTGTCTCTGAAAAAATTACCTTCATACTTTATTATAAAGGTAACTTTTTTTCAGAGACAAGTGACTATGCAATCAATGTATCTTCAGTGATGACAAGTGTTTTGTGTATCTTCAGTAATGACAAGTGTTTTGTGTATCTTCAGTAATGACAAGTGTTTTGTGTATCTTCAGTGATGACAAGTGTTTTGCAAATGACTTTATTCAGTTGTATTCATTAAGGAAATACAGTAACGCATATCTATTTCAGGTAGAAAAGATAGAACTTATATAGAAGATGGTAAAAATAAGAATTTATTAAATAAATATGTAACTTCATAAATCATTACTAAGTAATTTTCATTAATAATTTTACACAAATGTTATTGGATCTTTATTTTTATCTTAACAGTATTATTGTTTTGTAATTTGAGAAAAAAAAAATCGACGAAACTTGAATTCAAAAGAACAAACCTGCTTAACTGTTAGTCGAAAGCTTCGGTACAGGTTCGTGTCTTGTTTGAATTTAAGATGAGATAGTTTAATTTTTTTTTAAATGACTCATCTGACTATAACACAATCATAATTGAGTAACTTACAAATTTCCATTTCTCATAGTACACATACGAAAATTAACAACTTAAGCAACTTTAAAAAGCTTTTTATTATAATCTTTACTACCTTGCATGCTTTAAATTTGTAATTGATCACATGCATGTAACTTTTTTTATAAAGATAATACGTAATATGTACTAAGTGGTAATGTTTTCCATTCTTTTTGAAAGTTTTTCACTTGTTTGTCTCATGTACAATGTTGTATGTCGCTTGCATATTTATTGAAGAAATTTCTTAAATCTTTGAATGTTTTTTCTTTTATTCGTTGCTTAAGACGCACAATGAAAATCTAATTTGTGTAGAAATAACAATTTATCTTTCTATACTTTTATTCTTAATTTATTATAAATTACGTAAAAAGTATGAACCAGTTGTTAACGTCACAATGGTAACGTTTGCAGGTCGACGTTACTATGACGCCACTAAACCGATGGAGAATGACTACGAGGTGCCATTACACAGACTACAATGTCTTCGTGGATTACAGAACAGTGGCATCCTGCAGATAGGGAACAAAGATACAGGTAAAGGATCAAATTTCTCATCTTTTTCCATTAAAGTGATGTTTCTGCTTCTGCCGTTTGGTGGCCGCCATCATTTCTTATTATTCTGCCACTTCTGTTGATATCAATTGATTGATATTCGGAAGCAAGTTACCATACTTTTTTTTTATTGGAAAGCGGGAAACAGGTGGCTTAATTGGCGGAGGAAGGGGCAAAAGACAAGATCCAACCTCTCATAATTTGCCTTTCTACATTTTAGATGAAATATGAACTATGAAAACTTAAGATACTTTTAAAACAAATTTATCATACATCTGTCTCGGGTGTTTGGTTCACCCGCGGGAGCAAAATGAAAATAGGAACTGATAATTTGAATAGTTAAAAGCGTTCTTCCAAGAAAAAAACTGAAACCATTTTTTAGATTGTCCATAGTATCTTTTATTTAGACCATTTTATGACTGTTGACGACAATTTTGGTAAAATAGGTTCTTTGTTAACTTTTGCATTGCACGAACTTTCATAGCAATTATTTGAATGACCATATAAAATAATGCCTTCTTTTACTTTAGGGGTCCCACAACCTATATATAGGTTATTTTAATGGGACCCCTAAAGTAAAAGAGTGCAATAATGCCTTCTTTTACTTTAGGGGTCCCACAACCTATATACAAGCCAATACTATATAAACAATCAATACAACAGTATATAATAAAACAACAGCACAATGCATTTTAAATACACTATATATTGCTTGTTTTCCCTACTTATATTTTTTTTCATTGTCCTCCTGGTATCTTCTGTCTCTTTTTCAAACGCATTTTTAGATCTTTGTTCCGTCACCCTTTATTATATTCAGTATTTTTTCCGTATATTTATCCTTTTTTTGGGGGGATACATTACCATTACTTTTGTCATTTGGTCACAAATATTCTGTAGCTTCGCGCATATGGAAACACATATTGTTCCATTGTTTTTATCTTATCTGATTTTAGTACTGATAAAAATCTAAAACAGGATCATTATCTAACTGATTAAGAAGTTAGTCACCGGCATTGTATTCTTTCAACTATTTTGCATCTTTTTAAGTTTAATTATTCACACAAACAATAAAAGCCTCCGAACAGTTTAATTGAAGTGATTTAAAGGTTGTGCTATACAATACAGTATATATTTATCAATCGAACTTATCACATTACTTGTCTATGTTATTGTGTAGCGTATGTGCAAAGTTTGAAAAGGCTCATCAAGGAAAATATAAAAAATACTTCTTTTTATTGGTAAGATGCTGGACGAAGGGAACGGGAAACATCTGTAGGCATGTTTCAACGCTTCAAAAACGAAAAGTTTGAATTTACATATGTCAACTTTTTATATTCTAACTTTGGGAAAACATGAACATTTATCAAGATTGCTTAAAGCAGCCTATTATCAATGAATCAATTATCATAAATTAAATCTTGATAGTTTTAACGATAGTTGTTTAGAACTAGTTATATGTATCATGAAATGATTGCGTTTAGTATTTCTGCCTTTCCTCCGTAACAGTTTGTAAGAATAGTAGATCGTTGGAATTTTATTATGTTTTCAAGCCTGGAGCAATGTAAGTAAGTTGTTATTTCTTCCAACAATAAAACTATCGATAAATTCACAACAGTGACAGGAAAATAATTTTCATGAAGCAAGTCCGCTTGTAGTCAAAACTTCATAAAACACATTTTGTTAAAGGAGTAGGCCCAGTAAGACCCCTTTTTGGCCCCAAAATATAGCAGTTTTGCAAAATTGTTAAAATGTAAATTTTTAGCTATTTATTGGAAAGAAGAATACTTCTGTTACATAAATATGGGCTGTTTTTTGACAATACAATGCACATGTATCGGGTACTAGCATCATTAAGTCATGCTAAATTACTGAAATCTTCGAAATTTCTGCATTTTGGTTAATTTTTAGACGGTTTCCGTCTGAAATGGAAGTGGCCGCATTTGTGTTCATTCTTAATATTTGAATGTAAGTTGTATTTGATGATAATACATAACATATATAAAGGTGGAGAATGAACACGGATGCGGCCACTTTCATTTTTGACAAAAATCATCTGAAAAGTGACATATTATGGCATATTTGATAGATTTTTCATATTTAAGCTTGAATTTGAGCGTCTTTAATGACAAAATCAGTTCAAATCTTTCACTTAAACTAATTGAATCGACTGAAGTAGACAATTAAGTGTTTAAAAAGTGTCCAAAATGTTTCATCAAATGAACCTGAATTTTGAGGCCAAAATCGGCCTTTACCGGACCTACTCCTTTTCGAGTTTCAATTTTATTTCATATCTCATTTTAATTCGTTTACAAGGTGATATTGGAATGAAGACGATGCACATACTTCTCTGAGTTATCCAATTTTAAGATATTTACAGTATGTGATGTTTCAGTGGTTTGCAAATAATCTATTGTTAATGTTTATATCGAAATCATTGTTGGAGCGAGAAGTTTGTTGAAATTTTATAAACCAGTAAATTTATTGGAAAAAAACCCCGGTTTGATAGTAAAAAAAAAGACGATTTCCGCCAAAGTCGTACACATTTATTGCGAAAGATGTTACAACAGTCAATGGGATACATGTATATGTTCTTTTTAGATTTAAAGAAGGAATACAAACTGAAGATAACACACAATTAATTCATTGATCTACGTTCGTATAAGGTTACATAAAAGAAAAGTCCGTTAATCGAGTAGGCTACTGGTCCGTTGAGATTAATTTGAAAGAAAAAAAAAACGTTTCGTTTTAATAGATTTTTATAATTTCTCATATTCGTAGAGTCTTTGCAAATAATGATAAATATCTTACAAAATGGTTCAAAATTACAAAATGAACAACAGTAAATTCTAAAGTCAAATGTTTATAATAACTGAATTAAACTTAAAGGCGACACGAGACTCACTGAAATCTATGATAGTCTTTTCGAAAATTTACAACAAAATAATAAAAGCGGATATAAACGGAGAAATTTGCACTAAAACATGACAAGAGAACCGAAGAAACTAAGTGTGATACCCTATAATTATTTCCTGAGTAATGAGAGCAATACTAAAGATAAAATTACAAAAAGAAACCTGTACGTTGAAGAGTAATATCCGTTCAACTCAGTCCTTTGACAATTTGTAACCATCAAACACTCGAATAAAATGTTAACCAATATTTTTACTTCACCTTTGAGTGATTAAAGTGACCATTAAGTTACTCCCTATACAATGAACCAATCAACGAATTGCGTTTAATAAAGACTATCATCAACGGACCATTTGTTTTTACGTTGCAAATCCCTGAAGCCTACAGATGCTAAAAATTTAATAATTTCAATGTAAATTTGGGCTTATAGTTTGAATTAACTATTATGTTTTACAATCACGATAATATGTTTAATTAAAACCGAAAAAGCGATGCCTTTGTTGACATGTTGTTCTTACACAATCCACAATAGAGTAACACACCTTTGTTGATGATTCTTTAATGGCCGCATTGTAACATATTGTATCGTGATAGTGAAATACAAAAACCTGTATAATTTTGCAACAATATTGTGTCAAAATCAAAATGAAATTAATCTTACCAATTGTAATAGTAAAAGATTTTCAACTGATCTTTAACGTTTCATCGTTAAATCCTGACCAACGAACCTATACCTATCAGATAAACATGCTGTTCTCCTATGTTACTCCATACAATAAATAGATCAACTTATCGAATCCCCGATAATCCAAAATGACGCCAATCAATGACCAAATAATTATAGATTATCGTTGATCATCTCAACGAGATTGATTTTCTCGCTTGAGCCGGTACGGCGAAAGTGAGAAAAGCAATCGAGTTGAGATGACCAATGATAATCTGTTTACCGCTTTTTTACCTATGACGACGTTGTCAATTTCATGTCAATTTCATTAGCAACGCCACGTGCCCCCTTAGTTTATAGCGATAATTTTCATATCACTCGACTCCACTGAGAAAGGAATTATCAGTCAGCAAGATCAAAGGAAAATTTCGTAAAATAACGATAATGACTCTTATAATATCCCTTATTGCTGTTCGGTTGATGTCTTTTCTTTCATTCTGATATATATTTTATTTTTAGATACGAAAACACGTCGTGTGTTAGAAGATTATTTCAAGACCTCTTCACATTCAACAAGTTCGACAAAACCAAGGAAAGAGTTTCCTAGTTTGAGGTCAAGGTCAAAACCTTTTAGCAACTTGAAACAAAAACAAATTGAGTTATATCTTCAGAACGAGCAATACAGAGCTCATAATACAGACATCGGTAGAAAATCAGTGTCTTTTGCGATCTCAGGAAATAAACGGCCAATCACAGAAAATGTGAAATTGAAAAGGCCAATAACAGAAAATGTAACATTAAAGAGGCCACAAGTGACTGTTCTACAGCAAAATAGTGAGAAAAGCAAAGTTGCCCGACCATATTCCGATAAATTGTTATTACGCCGACCGGTAACTAAAACGTCACAGTCGTTAACGGTTGATGATGATTTGTTCATTAGTATAGCAAGTTCAGTTCAGTTAAAACCATTAAACTTTAAGTCTTCAAACGATCAATATTTATTTTATACTCAAAATTATCCCCTGTTGTTGGACGCACATGCAGAAGAAAAGAAAATCATTAAGAAACGAACACCAACACCGGAAACAATGGAAGGTGCCGATCTGAAACGTGCACTACAACTGAATACCCGAATGACAGAGTTAGAATCAAGTTTAGAAACTTTAGACAAAGAAACAGAGGATGTAGATTTCAGGACAGTGCTACGAGATGATGTATTTTATCCAAATAGATGGCCTTGGAATGAGAAGAAGTCCTCTGGTCATGATATTGCAGAATCTCCACTTGCTAAATGACCGCGCACTCTCAAGAGTTTCTTAAATGCACTGAATAATGATATAATATATGTGGTACTATTGTTATGCAAAATTGTAGGCTGCGATATAAATTATTAAATGTTCAAATAGGCTTTCGATATGAAAATAATGAATCAGCGAAGGCAGAATAAAAAAAGTCTGAAACAGTCAGTCGATAACATTTTCTGATAGGCCACTCTTAAATTACAACCGAATATGATATGGTTCCCTTCTTTGTTTGTAGTACTGGTTAGTTAATGATACGCGGTATTATTTTTTTCTGCCCTTTTTTCTGATCTGTAATAGCCTCTGTTCAATTAATTCATACATTTTCTAGACTCTTACTATTTATAAGCACCTGAGATTACCTCCAGTTATTGTTGGGATTCGTGTTGCCAAGTCTTTAGTTTTCTATGTAGTGTATTTCGTTTTTTGCCATGGCTTTGTCAATATCTTTAAACTTATAAGTTTTGAATGTCCCCTTGGTACATGTATCTCCGTCTCGTTTTTTTTTTAAACTGGAAACAGTCTGTATAGACACTTGTTGGAGACCTTTTTTACCCCTAGATGCATTTTAGTCGTTGCATCATTGAGTAGCGTTCTCATTATATAACCGCAACTTCATTTATTCACATGCGATATATGTTATGAATATGAATATGGTCTTTTCATTTCTAACAAACTTGCACTCCAACTTGAGTATAAGTTTGAAGTAATCCTGATTTATTAAGTTCTGCAAAGAAGCAAATAACTATTTGATTTGAAGGGGAAGTAACTGGTTTTTTATTATAACTCCAAGAGAAAAGTCCAAGTTTCCTAACAGAAAAATCACTAGCTCGCAAGAGCACATTACCTGAACATTTCTCGCATTGTTGATTTTACTGGAAAACAAAATGATTATAACCCTGATATGTAAAACATCTTGTTGATTTATATAGGTTGAATGTCATGAACATTATTTTGACATTATCTACTAATCCAGTTTCAATTTTATTCAACATAAAAACTAACATATTAAAAAATATTATATGTAAATGTTTAATAAACAACAATATCATGTACAAGCAAAAAAAGATTAAAACATGTAAATTAACAAGCATGAAAAAGAGCATTAGTTTTGCCGTATTTAGAACCTGGATATTTACAAATGGGAAACAAATGTTCACACATCTGGTTACACTGAAGAACAGTTCTTAAAGCTATTCATTGGACAAAAAGCTTATCATTCAGGAAAATAAACAAACAATAACATTATAATACAATAAAATAGGCATGCCTACATGTAGCACATTTATCAAAAACAGTAAAAAACATAGTTAGTATAAAACGTTCTGAAAAATATAGTTAGAATTTTAAGTACAATACAAATGTAACATATATACACATTTCATTTCTATATAAAATAGTTATTATCATTAAATCACATTTGTTGTAGTATAATACTAATACTGACTGAATTGTTCCAAAATGTATAGAAAAACACATGTTAAATAGTATCACATAGGGGATATGTATACCTGAATAATCAATATCAACTAGAAAGTTGAATACCGTTTGTGATATTAAAGTTGAGTTAGAAGTATTCAAACAAAGTAAAGGTGGTTCGAAAAAGCTGTGGATTAGAGTCTAAAATTTAAGCAGCTTTACCAACAATCAAATAAATTTCTGCCGTCAACTTTACACTAATATTGACTAAAATTGTTATAAATTTACACTACATAACAATAGACGGTATTTTCATGTTTGAGACATACATGCTGCGAAATGGAATATTGAACGTTTAATCGTGTGGTCAAACCTTTACTTTTGCGCTCCTGGCCACTGTTCTGTCCTACTAAGTTTATATAAATTTAAAGTTATTTCATTTTAGCCATTCCGCTTAAGTCTAGAACATTTTTCTTTTGATTGTATAGTATATCATTCCTCCCAACAAACTTTTCTTATCGAAGGATATTCTGAAGCCATTGTTCGGAAACCTTCAACAGCTTTGTATTACCTTAGTAACCGCCAACTTACCTAGTATCTACATTTTGTACCTGACTTATATGATTTAGCCTGTATTCCTATTATCTCGTTAATGATGTCAGACATACAAAATGCATTTAAACAATAATGTATACAACATACAATACAAACATAACACATTAAAGCTAAGTATGGTGTTAGTGGATATAGCCTTGCTTGTTGGATCACAAGGCTGTGGACATTTCACACCATCACATGTTACTATATCTCCATTATCACATGTTAAACTTTCAATAGTTTCTGTTGAATTAACAATCACTATTCTCCCTTCAATGCCGTGGTAAAAAGGCGATGCATTTTTAACATATTCAATCAAAACATCTGAATCAAGATCACCTGTTAGAAATAAAACAATGTTTTAGCGTATTTCTTGTTAGATGAACAAATAAGATTATTAAGATACATATGAAGGATGCATCTAGAGAAAAAGACCATAAATTATTGTCAACGAACTCACCAACTGCAATTACGACATCTAAAACTCCATGTAGAGACTTAACGAAGGAAATGTTGAATAAGTGAGTATATGAAAGTTAAATACAATAAAATATCCGTCGTTTGGAATGATACTTATAAAAAGTCTGTCTATGCATTTATAACATATGTAGCTCCATAACGGGGGCACGGACCCCTTGCCCCCCTAAATCCGCCTTCTGGTATATAATTCCTTGATAATACCTCGATAACAAGGAAACTGAATAAGAGGCGAAAATATCTTAACGTGTTGTTTAAGAGCACTGCTTGTTACAGAACACCAAATTCATGAAATTGAGAGTTCCCTGCCTCTTTTGAAAAATTAAGATTAGAAAATGAGAAGTGTCGAATACAGTCATACAAAAATATGACATAGATAATTGCCTGAAAATCGTATTAGTTATTTTACAAAAAAATCTTAAGGTCTTCTCCAGTTACTTCCTCGTCTCCTCCGTTTAGTTATGTTGCGTCAATGTAAATAAAGATTAAGACACACAAACATATATTTCCGTGCTTTCATTAGCCACCATTCATCTCAATAGATAGTGTTGCTTCGCACTTTTATAAATATATATTTTAAAACATTACCGGTACACATTTTGCTGCATCAGATGCGCATTTTAACAATCAATGTTTCATTAGTGATCCTCGAAGGCAAACTAATTGAATGCAGAGCTAATAAATATGGACCAAAAATAAATATACGGTGTCCATTATACCAGCGCTGGCGTAAGTAACTAACTACAAAGTATAAAAACAAACATGAACTCACCAACAGTATGTGATAACTCTGCATTATCTCTAATCATGTGATACGAATCTCCACCAGTCAGAATAAAATTGGACAAAATCAAGCTGTACATAACATTCTCATCAATAGGTTCATATGCAGGAAAGGTACAGTTCTGACAGATAGCTAAAGCTTCAACAACTCTGTTTTGAGGTGGTTTTGCTAAATTATATTTTACTTTTATTCCTGGAAGAAGAAACCGTAACATTTTTGTTATCAGATATCACAGATATCGTTATATTGTCGTATTCGAGTACTACTGTGAGTTTGATAAGTATTATTACAATATACCTAATAAAAATAAGGAGATGTGGTATGATTGCCAATAAGACAACTATCCACCAAAGTTCAAATGAAGTAGATATAAGCAATTAGAGGCAACCGTACGGCCTTCAACAATGAGAAAAACCCCAAGCCATTCGCGTCAACCAAACTGTTGCTTAAGACAAACAGAAAAGACGAATTGAAATGTCAAGGGAAACAAGCAGGTCTACTTAGAGTCGATTATTTATTAATTTTCTGGTTATCTCTCTTAGATATTTGACAATAACAATACAATTGTAAGGTAAGAAATGAATACATCTAAATTACTTGTTCTGTATTTTATTGAGATTGGGCTTTATTTTTACGCACCCTATATGTTCGTTTCTTTACATGCGAGATTCAAAAGTCAATACATTTTCGATCGTTTCAAAGTAATAGTATTACAATATGCGGGATTTTCTCGCTGTGTAGAAGACCCATTGGTGGCCTTGGGCTGTTTTCTGTTCCTTGGTCGGGTTGTTGTCCTTTCACGTATTCTCCCTTTCCATTCTCAATTTTAAGGTTAATTTTATATCTTTATTTTTCTTTTTATTTTATATCTAGCATATTACTAACATTACATAAGTATTTATGGAACCATGTCGAAAAAAAACTTGAGTATCAAATTGATCTTTTAGAACAACAATATTATAAAAATATCATTGAGTAATCTCACAATCCATAAACTTTTATCATAGATAGGTATTTAGATTTCTTATGATACTTTAACTTAATTTTGAGGAAGAAAAAACCAACCGCCAGGTTCATTCAGTTAATAGTTGACGAAAACTCACCTGAGTATTGTAAAAACTTTCCACTTGGTTCAGCAACGTCATAGTCCGCAACACTATGTTCTAATGCTTGAAGTAAGTAATCTCCCCTGAGTTTGATGGTCTCCAATGTATTCCTAAAGGGTTGTGCTTGTAACGCATGCCCTACTGTTATATTTCCTACAAAAATAGAATTTCATATCATCAGGTGTAGACAGAAATCTTATTGGAACAGATTTGCCGATTCTGAAATTCCATTGTTCCTCGTAGTTATGTAACTGACTTTAGTAGCAGTTTACAACAGTATCATGCCTTATCAACTTAGTTAAAACAATATGATTTCAGTTTGAGTAGTGCATTATGTGTGTTAGGGTGCTCCTTCATCTAGTTGCAGCCCTCACTTTATACTTTATGAATAGGGTTATAAACATCACAAATGGAATGTTGCTACGTTCACTGCTACAGTAAAGGGGGGAAAAAAATCTCTGTTCAGTCTATTTTATAAATTGATTTGATGGGTATAATATAGATATAAAAAGATGTGGTATGAGTGCCAATGAGACAACTCTCCATCCAAGTCACAATTTGTAAAAGTAAACCATTATAGGTCAAAGTACGGCCTTCAACACGGATCCTTGGCTCACACCAAACATCAAGCTATAAAGAGTAAGTTTTTATATAACACATCTAATTGGCTTCTTAAATAGGACAAAACGGGTGGATTGTTGATTGGTGTTTAGTTGTGATCATCATCATGCATGTTTAAAACGTCAAAAAATAATTATGTATGCTCTGCAAATCAGATATTTTTCGTAGGTGTAGAATCTGTGCCTTGCAACATGTCACCTTCGGATCACTATAGCGGTCTATTTCCCATACTAAATTAGAAAAAAGCCTAGTTACATTCCTAACAAAACTTCATTCGTTAGCGCAATGCAACATGATTTATTTGTATTCTTAATGAGATATTTACCTCTGTCCATAGATGATCGTATAAATCAACCTGATTTGTTTGTATTCTTAATGAGATATTTACCTCTGTCCATAGATGATCGTATAGATCAACCTGATTTGCTTGTATTCTTAATGAGATATTTACCTCAGTCCAAAAATGATCGTATAGATCAACCTGATTTGTTTGTATTCTTAATGAGATATTTATCTCTTTCCATAGATGATCGTATAGATCAATCTGATTTGCTTGTATTCTTAATGAGATATTTACCTCTGTCCATAAATGATCGTATAGATCAATCTGATTTGTTTGTATTCTTAATGAGATATTTACCTCTTTCCATAGATGATCGTATAGATCAATCTGATTTGTTTGTATTCTTAATGAGATATTTACCTCTTTCCATAGATGATCGTATAGATCAACCTGATTTGTTTGTATTCTTAATGAGATATTTACCTCTGTCCATAGAAGATCGTATAGATCAACCTGATTTGTTTGTATTCTTAATGAGATATTTACCTTTTTCCATAGATGATCGTATAGATCAACCTGATTTGTTTGTATTCTTAATGAGATATTTACCTCTTTCCATAGATGATCGTATAGATCAACCTGATTTGTTTGTATTTTTAATGAGATATTTACCTCTGTCCATAGATGATCGTATAGAGCAACTTGATTTGTTTGTATTCTTAATGAGATATTTATCTCTGTCCATAGATGATCGTAAAGATCAACCTGGTTTGTTTATATTCTTAATGAGATATTTACCTCTGTCAATAGATGATCGTATAGAGCAACCTGATTTGTTTGTGTTCTTAATGAGATATTTACTTCCGTCCATAGATGATCGTATAGATGAACCTGTTTGTATTCTTAATTAGATATTTACCTCTGTCCATAGATGATCGTATAGATCAACCTGATTTGTTTGTATTCTTAATGCGATATTTACCTCTGTCAATAAATGATCGTATAGATCAACCTAATTTGTTTGTATTCTTTATTAGATATTTACCTCTTTCCATAGATGATCGTATAGATCAACCTGAATTGTTTATATTCTTAATGAGATATTTACCTCTGTCCATAGATGATCGTATAGATCAATCTGATTTGTTTGTATTCTTAATGAGATATTTACCTCTGTCCATAGATGATCGTATAGATTAACCTGACTTGTTTGTATTCTTAATGAGATGTTAACCTCTGTCCATAGATTATCGTATATATCAACCTGATTTGTTTTTATACTTAATGAGACATTTACCTCTTTCCATAGATGATCGTATAGATCAACCTGATTTGTTTGTATTCTTAATGAGATATTTACCTCTGTCCATAGATGATCGTATAGATCAACATGATTTGTTTGTATCTTTAAAGAGATATTTACCTCTGTCCATAGATTATCGTATAGATCAACCTGATTTGTTTGTATTCGTAATGAGATATTTACCTCTGTCCATAGATGATCGTATAGATGAATCTGTTTGTATTCTTAATGAGATATTTACCTCTGTCCATAGATGATCGTAAAGATCAACCTGGTTTGTTTGTATTCTCAATGAGATATTTACCTCTGTCCATAGATGATCGTATAGATCAACCTGGTTTGTTTGTATTCTTAATGAGATATTTACCTCTGTCCATAGATGATCGTATAGAGCAACCTGGTTTGTTTGTATTCTTAATGAGATATTTACCTCTGTCCATAGATGATCGTATAGATCAACCTGGTTTGTTTATATTCTTAATGAGATATATACCTCTGTCAATAGATGATCGTATAGAGTAACCTGATTTGTTTGTATTCTTAATGAGATATTTACTTCTGTCCATAGATGATCGTATAGATGAACCTGCTTGTATTCTTAATGAGATATTTACCTCTGTCCATAGATGATCGTATAGATCAACCTGATTTGTTTGTATTCTTAATGAGATATTTACCTCTGTCCATAGATGATCGTAAAGATCAACCTGCTTTGTTTGTATTCTTAATTAGATATTTACCTCTTTCCATAGATGATCGTATAGTTCAACCTGATTCGTTTGTATTCTTAATGAGATATTTACCTCTGTCCATAGAAGATCGTATAGACCCTGAATTGACTAAAGAGATGAACACTTGAGCTCCATCGATGCTGTCTGCATGTAATAGGTTCTGATGAACAAGACCATCTGCAATCAAATTCCCTGAAAATACAACATAAACAGATTTTCTGTAAATGTTCAATGTTTTCATGTCCATTTTAAGCTCAGTCATATAACAATAACTAAAAACACTTTTGATTATATTAATATGTTAATTTTTTTCTTAGAGTAAAACATATAATTTGATTTAATATAGTCATGCAAATATAATTACTTGTTATGTATCATCCTTGTAAAATATATCTAGGTAATGTTGCATCGCTCAACAGGAGTCGCAAATAGCAAGCATATTAACTTTGAGTCAATAACCATATCAAATTGGAGTCAATCCCGGGGAAAATTCACGACATATGGTGACCGAATGTCATATTCGTGTCTTGGTGTTTTGCAAAAAAAAAAAACAAAAAAAAAACGTAATATCGCAAACAAAGCAAAGATTTGTCCTTTTTTTAAAAGAAACTTTAACTAGGAACACTAATTTGGTTTAGAATATAGCAAAGTGCTCTCGACCAATGAAATTGTAGGATTTGATGTCTCTTAATTGTGACGAATGAATGTAAATCATGTTCTTATAAAAAAGAAGATGTGGTATGATTGCAAATGAGACAACTCTCCACAAAAGACCAAATGACACAGAAATTAACAACTATAGGTCACCGTACGGCGTTCAACAATGAGCAAAGCCCATACCGCTCAGTCAGCTATAAAAGGCCCCGAAATGACAAAGTAAAACAATTCAAGCGAGAAAACTAACGGCCTAATTAATGTACAAAAAATGAACGAAAAACAAATATGTAACACATAAATAAACAACAACCACTGAATTACAGGCTCCTGACTTGGGACAGGCACATACATACAGAATGTGGCGGGGTTAGTATGGGATTATCCTATTATTTGGGTCCATTTACAGTCCAAAACAAACAGTTTCCATAAATGAGTTATAACTGCCCAGAAGCACATTTATCAGATTGAAAGGATTTATCATAGTGATTGAAACTAACTAAAAGTTGAATTGTGAAACAAAAACAAAAACAAACAAAAAATCAAAATAAGCTGAAGTTTACTGATGCAGTAAAATTTGTACCTTTAATTTTATAATGAAAATATTAATAACTTCAAATTATTAAAACAAATTGAACAATATCAAAGCAATGCAAAAAAAATTAGAAATAACCTAAATCTTTAGCTTTCCAAAACTCTGATTACTGAACCAGTGGTTGGGAAGAATAGATAATTTTCCAATATTCCGATAAAATAAAAAAAAAAATAGGAATTTGATTTACGTTTTGAATATATTTAAAACTTTTAAAGGCATTTTATTTGAACATTTCCCTGACATAATGAAATAGTATTTGATTTAAAAAGCCGGACCAAAATATTGGCTGTGAAATAAAATTAGTTGTAACTCAAATATATTTATTGATTTAAACTGTAAATACAAAAAGGATAATTCCTCACTAAAATATTACATGATTTACATTCATACTCACAATCAAGAAACATATACAATTCCTACCATTTCTTTGTACTGTTGTGTCACCTAATGTATACAACGCATTTTTAAATATTTCCCAAATTATAAGAAATTCCTTACACGGTTCATTCCTCCTATAAATCTGGTAAGAAAAGTTAAAATTTCATGTGGGAATAGGGGGAAAACTTGTGCAAACAAAGGATTATACTGTATAAACATTGTTTATTCAACTTTTAATTGACAAGTATTTTTTTGGGTAGGTAATAGGTTATTTTCTATGTGTATGAATTCTGTGTTTTTAATTAAAATAGACATATAAGAAATGGAAACAAATATAAGTAAATCATTTTATTTCTTTTATAACACAAATTCAACAGTAGATTCAAGCAACCATTATAATATGAAACAAACAATACAAGTAAACAGCACTAAAACACATAAAAGATATTGCACACACATTAGAAATTCACTGTATATAAGTCTATTAAAGTTTATTAATCTATTCAACGTGAAGAAGGTGGGAGGCTGCATCACCAAACTGCACTGTTGTGACTTCCTGGCTGCGGTGTCTAACCTTAAACTCTTTTAATCTGTTGTTGATTTCGACATACTTTCGTGTTTGGGCCACTCTCTTCTCACCGGCTGCATACTGGATCATGGTCAGGGCGTTGAAAGCTTCCTTATGATTCAGTAGTTTTATGAGTTTAAAGATGTTTGGGTGTGGGTGCTGGACATGTTTCTTCAGCTTGCTGTGCCATCCCTCTAGATGATGTGTAGTCATCGAACCCATGTTGTGTAATGGTCTCAAAGGTGACTGTTCTGTTCGACCCAGTATGTTGTTACATAGTCTGTAAAGGGCGTGTAGTTGATGTTAGTATCAATCTGATCTATGTCGGTTAGGACATTAAACCACAAATCTTCAATCATAGTACGTGCCCACAAACCATCTATGTTGATTTCATCAATAGTTTTTGGTAAAACTGGTAGGTTCTTCTTGCGTTTGTTGTACATGGAAATCTTGCATGATGGGAAAGTTTGTTATAATTTTATCTATCATTAATTTATTTGTTCGGATGACATTTTTTTTAAGTTTACAAATTCAATGATTTTTTAATCTAACTTCTATTTATCTGACTTATTCTTTATCTTTAAGTAATTATTTGAATAAGAAAAAACATATTACAAATAAACAGTGTTTTAGTTTGATTTTTTTAAATAATATTATACTTAACAGTGTTACAAATATGTTTTCTTTTAAAAAATACAGGTAATTATTAGGTGAATTTTTAATTATAAAAACAAATCATTTATCAAAACATCTATTGTTATTTGCAAGTGGGAATAGAAGGAATAGTGATTTTTAAAAGTGGGAATAGGAGGAAGACAACCCTTACACCACTACAACTAATCCATAAATGAAATGCCGAAAAAATGAAGTCATGCATTAATTATAAACATTACACTGACAATGAAACTAATTCAATCAAGAGATCATTTGAGCCTTGAGCACTTTACAATATTCTAAGTTTGAAAGAGAATGATAATCCCTTACTTCATGATAAGTACTTGCTAATGCTCGTACTTAATCATGAAGAAAGGGATTATCATTCTCTTAATATACTTATTGATATTTTCTACTTGATCAGAGTTGATGAAATTTAACTTAGACCATTTATCAATACCGTAATGATTTTTTTAAAATATTTATTTATCCGTTGACCCTTTTCCTTGAAAGTAAATACGCCATCCAATCCTGTGATTAACGTAGGGGTGTGATCACGTTTCTCCAACATTTGATAATTAGACTAAAACAACATTAGGGATTATGGGATCCTCATAAGGACTGGCATCTTGATATTTACCTGCAATTCACCTGTTCTAAAATATTGTTAAAAAGGGGTATATTTTTAAAGATATATATTAAAACATTAACAAAATATTTTTTTTACCGTAATTGTTTTTTCATATATTTTTTCAAATAGTTTCCCAAGATTTTAAAAGTCGATATAATCTAGCACAGTGATGAAAATTTGTAATTTACTTTGTTTTCATATTTTTTTTCTCTATTTTTTTCATAACAATGTATCATTGATTACAATGTTGCGATCTTGAATAAAAATAAACATTTAATATTCTGAGAGCTTAAGAGTTTTTTATAGCTTGAGTCATTAAGCTTATATAAAAGTATCAAACGCTGCTTATTATCAAAGATGTAGTATATTTAAATTTCTTAGTCAATTTGCATTAATTGTCCAAAGCTTAAGTGACACATTGAGAATACTTGTAGCTCATAATTCACCAAGCCAGTTCCCACAGTTAAACACCCTATAGTTTACGATGCGATGTACCCAATTTTTATTCTCCCTTTTTCGTGAAAAAGTGGACGGATTTACGACTGATTCTTCCATCTGCTTAGACAGCATGCCATGACCACTGACTTCGCGGCTCTTATGATATACAGACAGAACGACTAGGTAGATATATGATTCTTCGCATTAGAAGACAACAGCTTTCGGTGACTTTGTATGAAATACAACTTTGTTGTTGCGCATCGTTTTAGATTTGGACATCTACATGTAACACAAATACAAAAATATATCAACTAATAGAATACATTACTAAAATGAGGTACAGTCAGTGAACATTTCGATTGTTCGTATTATTTTCAATAAAAAATCATTGTGAGATTATTTCTTGATAAATTTTTATGAAATTTTCAGTTTGATTTGAAATTTCTTTGTTTATTTATGGAATTTTTTGTCGAATAACTTCTTAAATTTGTAATTCAAAAACGAATAAAAATAATTACGTAACAGTTTCTGGTTATGTTCGACCAAAAATATATGAAAAATCAATTATTATAAAAAAAAAACAAAAAAAAACAATGGTTTGTTAATGTTTTGATATATCTCTTTAAACAATATCCCTTTTTACAATATTCTAGTTGAGAACTGATATAGGTGAATTACAGGTAAATATCAAGATGCCAGTCCTTATGAGGACCCCCTAATCCTTAATGTTGTTTAGTCTAATTATCAAATGTTAGAGAAACGTGACTAAACCACGTAGAGTATGTTTGAATAAGATTTATTAATTCGTCACGAATATACATATGTTCGTTGATTCCCTTTAAAAGAAGAAGAAAACTCGATTCTCCAGTAGAACATCACGGAAAAAAAATATTACACAATAATTCCATCTCAGTCACTTTTGAACCGTTGTATTACTGCAACAATACATAAGAGGATAGTAAGAAAAAAAATTGTGACATGCCTAAAAACAAATGTCAATATATCTATGACTGTGTCTATAAGAATGTCATGACGATTTAATTATGCAAAAAAAAGTATATATACGATCCAAAGCAACCTCTAGGATTCTGGGATTGTGAGATATCTTTCGAAATGTAGAAATTAGAAGACCGTATTTTGCCAAATTTGACTGTCTGAAGATCGGCTTTCGAGGACTACCCATACGACATATCCGCCATCTATGGTTTACATCGATACTTAGTTTCAGAAAAGATGAAATGAAAAGTTAACGAGTGACCGATGACGATGATAAAGAGCGATCATGTGATTACATTAGCTAACAATCTTGAATAGTAAATGGATGTATGATTGCATAACGTCCAGCATAAATATTTAGAGTCAGAATGTTTGGATCATCAGGTAATAGTCTGCAGGAAGACTCGTCATCCTACCCGGTCATATTATTCTGCAGCCGACCGCATAGTCTGTGCTTTAACTACTTAATGCCGCATACTACCGATATAAAGGTCTTTGGTTTGACCTGTCCGGGGTTGGAACCAACGACTTCCATCACAGGAGGTGAGCATGCTACTATCTTTAAATAATTCTATCAAATAATATTGAAATTATAAATGAAAATTATTCTTGTAAAATTTGATAGTGATTTAAATAACAAATGAAAATTTCTCTATATAAATTTGGTGCGTCCCAAATGTTTTTCGTGATTTTCCTTCGCCAGGAACGCTTAAACACTAAACTAGATATATAACATTGTTTCTATGTAAACTGTATACATCAGGTTCAATTAAAGTGAGAACCAGCATACAAGTTCATTACTCATGTAGTAAGAATCAATCGTTATTCTCTCATTCAGCTATAAAAATCTCGTGTGTTTAAGAAAAATGTTGATTTAGAGGGTACATTTCTGAACTTCGTTTTTCGATTAATAATGTTAAGTTTTGTTATAGATATAGGCGTCTCCTTGAAGTGAAACAAATTTCGATCCGTGTAATGTTTAAACGTACTTTTATATTTATGATTTTTGTTATAACTTTTGGGATTTATACCGCTATTCATTTTGGTCTGATTACGTAAGTTGATATTACCTCATGAGCATCTATTCTATATCCTACCTTTCTCAATTTCGAAAAACATGACCGATTTGAAAAGATTTTTAGATATCTTTAACTTTTTATTTATTTGAAATAAGTGACACTTAGTTCGCTTATCTATTTCTCATTATCATACAAATCAAAGTGTGTCAAAAACCTATTCGGTATATTGATTTAACATGTAACTACTTTTTTAGATTTGATGTAAAGCTAATACGTCATGCTCTTCTTGCGATTAAAGTGGGGAATGTTTGAGAAAGATTTACTAAGTCGTCATGCATATATTATTTTATTTGTTTTCCCATGATCACTCTTGCACTCTTGAAATCAGCTTATTTTCACCCTGTCCTTAATGAGCAATAGGGGATGGGGATATGCACACGAACATATTACCGGGTCAAATGTTTTTAGATGTCAACCCTCCCCTCTTTTACTTTGATCAGTGGAATAACAAAAAGTACACAAAAGAACGTACCACGAACATCAGTGTTAAAAAAAAACCTTAAATCTATAATAGATCAGATTACAAAGAAAACACAAATAAATCATAGACCAATTTGTTACATTACATTATCATACCCATATTACACTCTTGTAATCTACAGGTATGCCGATCTCCATTCAGGTAAACTAACGTCCGTCCTATAACATTATTCATCATTTCTAGTACCTCCTTTCCAAATTCATTTGTTACGTTCTGTACAGCTTCATCTGGTAAAACGTAAACATTTAATGATGCTTTAATAATTTAACCATGGATTGATCAATCAGTTAATTGTGAAGCATTTCTTAAACAATACATTAGTATTGTTTTAGTCTACATTTTTTTCGATTGTGTTTAAACTTCTATTTACTCAATTCAATATTTTCTTTCTTACAGTATTACAATAAAAGTCTTCAACGTTTCTTTTTATTTTGTTAAATGCAGTTAATTTTTCTTTCATTTTGGCGATTATTTTGTGCTATTTTGAGGAAATAATTTTTCAACATTCGGTACATAAGGATTTTCAATATTTTATTTCGACCAACCCTGAATTTTGTCAAAAAAGCATTTGGTGCATGAAATTATCTTCAGTGTCTTTCAATTTATAATATCTACATTTATCTATCTACATCTACAACAAGATGTCTGATGAAAACAATTGTTCTCACGTGAACATAGACAACAAATACATCTTCTACCTTCTTATGTTACATCAAATAAATGCAAACTGTTGGTAATAATATAACTGAAATTTATTAGGTATGTAAATAACTACCTTTAGGTATTGAACTGTCTAGTAATATAGGGTTTCCTCCATAGCTTATAATTTTCCCGTCGTTATCAAATTGCACTTGCAGAAATCCAAGGTATTTAGCAAAGGCATAATCTTGTACAACTAAAGCTTCGTCGCCATTATTCTTTATGACAACAGTGGGATATACATTTACTGGCTTCTCATTGGACGGTGCTGTTCCTAATATAAATATTGAGAACATTGAATATATCTATAGTTCTTAGTCTTATCCTCCGAAACCTGCATTTACTTTAATTCTCATACAAATACTATTAAAGTTGTGGTATGGAATAGTCGCCTGCTTTTGTCCTAAACTATTTCCAATGCATATTCTCTTGTCAATTTGTAAATATATAATACTAGACACCAGAATCGCCACACGGCCACTTTATATCTTCGTTGCTTAAGATAGCAAAACTTCTGACCAATCATTTTTGTTGGCATTGTTGTGGTCAATCTTAGAAAGTTTAAGAAAAACCAAATTCTCCTTAAAATTTCTGCGAAAAGTTTTGAAAACTGGCTAATCTGAGACAATGATTGCCTTGTTCAAGTGATCGTATTCAAATGATGCATATGAAGGAGACATTCTAAAAACCAAGATTATTAAATCAAGGCAACAGTATTTTACCGATGTTCAAATCTGGTAAATTGATTGGAAAGAGACAAAGCAAGGCTACAAACAAGAAACGCTTGAATTCCAAAAGAAGCGAGACCGGATGTGCTACCAAGATGGGTGCCTTGCTATGCATTCATCACCCGCCATGCGAATTCACTCTCAATCAAAATGTGTCAATCGGAAATTGGACACACATCGGTAAAATTACAGATCATACGACTTTACTGATATATTAAGGTCTATAAGACCGCAAAATACTTGCCGCTAAAGAGTTGAGACACCGATCATGTTGGTCAACTAATTCATGATGTTCCCGGTAAAACTTATGTATAGTGTCGATTTCAGTCATTCGTCCTCAAAATTATGTTGAATCAAGTTTTGTGTAAGGAGCATACTCCCGTTAAAGAATGCCTTATGGTGTGCGTATGCGCGAGTGTATGCACGTGCGTAACGTATTCACTGAGATATATACGATTGAGCAGAAGGTATGTTACTGCTGAGAAATGGGAAGTTGTGAAATTGTCACTCGATTTATGGAAGAAAATGAAAATGTTTTTTTTTTTCATAGTGTGTCAGCGGAAACTGTGTGCTACCAATGCCATCATGTTTGCCACCAATGCAAGTTTGCTAGCCGATTAACATTTCATGACAAAAAAATGATTTCGTTTTCGGTCGGCGAACTAACAACTGCTTCAATGATTGTTTTATTATTTTTCTTTGTTTAAAGTAGAACCATTGCATATATAACATATATATATATAATCATATATATATACCGAAGGTTTTTATATTATGATTTAAAGTTTCTGTTTCTATCTGAATTTTTTTTTTGCATTTTGAAATGAAAATATGACATGAAATAAGTATAAGTGTAGTAATGTCAGAAACCAGATTGCCTTTGTTAGCCTATCTCACTGTCAAAATGAGTAGAGTTATTCAATACAAACCATTGGAACTTTTCTATACCAACGGCGAATGTGTGCAACTAAGAATTTGCCGAACCACGAATTTTTTTCTTTATTGCTATACTATTATATACTACATTAAAAAAACAGAATTGGTGTTGCTACACTTGTCAACTTCATATTATATAAATGTTCATTTCAAAATCTACAAACAGTAACACTGTGTAGCATGACCACCGGATATAAAGACCACTGAAGCAGTGGAAAAAACCAAACGTGAAGTCAGGTCAGGTCAGATTCGTCTTATTTTCATAGTATTCGACGTTTTGGTGACAAGTCAAGTTTTGTGATAGTGATTCCTAATATTGTAGCTACTATTTAGGGGTGATAATGATCCTTAAATGGCCAGAATCGGATAGGGTGGTACCTGTTCAACGAAGCATGTGACGAGTTCAAACTGGTTAAAAACAAATTATCCTTCAACTATCCATTTGACGTTTTCGTAGAACAAAGGTATATCATATTTAAGCTTGAACAACACTGTATTTTGAAATGAACAATTTTTAACACAGAAAAATTCATATAAATAAAGCGAATAAATTGTATGGCGAATAGTGGAGAATAGTGGCGAATAGTTGTTTACTGTGCGAATTAGAATAGGTACTTTTTGCTATCATTGTTTCTTTGCTTCGGGGTACCTATATACACAGTGAATAAGGGAATGAAATATCATTGTTTGCTATTGTTTCGTGCATGTGTTCACTTTATCTTTTTTTAGTCTTTACGAATGTTTTCTTCAAATAATAAAGCACAATACATCACACATAAAATGTTTGTATATACATTAAACGCAAGTAAAATGATATGTGAAAACAAAGGCAATACCATTTGTTAAGATCCAAATCTCATCGAGTTTATAAAAATTGTGAATAAAAGGTAACAGAGACTACCAAAGTCTGCCACAATCCCAATTTAAAAACACCGCGAAGATACAAAGAACAACAACGATTGACGAGATTATATCGGCAGCTGTTCTTGCGTGGATATTTCATACAATCATACAATCACGTTAAAAACAATGCAGAAAAAAACGCAATGACCAAAACGAATTGAATATAGAAGTTTAATAAAGTGAAGAAAATAACTGAAATATTTAAGAAGTGTACAGAAGCAAATCGTGTTAAGACAAATTTGATAAGTAAACAAAAATTGAAGGGTTTTTGTGAGAAGATTGTGTAAAAGTTTTACCAATTTACGATATCAGCACCACTGCGGCCAAAGTTTATAATAGTGAAAATTATAACATATGATGAAGACTGCATGGTAACTTCATCTATGTGCATATTAGACCATTGACAAATGTGTACTTTACAAAAGAGCCATATGTTTATCAACACAAAGGTAAGGAAAAATAACAAAAGGAAAGGAAAAGTCGTTTCGTTTCTCATAAATGTTCAATACATATTAAATACCTGTATATAAGAACGTATTAGTATGGCCACCAACGACAATGTCGACATCATCTACTTCAGTTGCTATTTTTTGGTCGACTTTAAATCCTGCATGTCCAACAGCGATGATCTTGTTCACTCCTTGGTTTTTAAGAATGGTCACTTGTGTTCGAATAGATGTCACCTCGTCCAAAAAAATCAAATTGCCTGTAAAATTAGTAGTTAAAGACATCTTTGTTATTTGATTTATCTGCCGCTTTGAAAAAAGTTTACGGTCCATGAACAACAATTTGAAAAATTGCATACATATTGTTATCCAAGCAATATTGAAATTGTTGACAACAACAGCAGAAACATCTATTTCGTATTTAGATTTTGGGGGATTATTGACAATAAGAGGCGATTTGTTTTAGCAAACGACAAATGAAATGATTTTAGGTTTTGGATATTGTGGTGGTGTCTTTTAGAAAATACGAATACTTTTTAGAGCACATGGGACCAGACTAGTTTTTCTAATACCTATATACGGAAAAGGATATCAACTCGTCAGGAGCACAGAATATAGAGTATGTTTAAGTTTATATGTGTATAAAACGAGAACATTTACTCACTTGTCAATTCAAAAGAGGTCTGATTATTATTTAGATAAGACGTTCACTTAAAATGTTTAAAAAAAATTATAACGTCAAGCGACACTTTGTTTTGACCCCGAAAATGATTATATATCAGAATTATCAAATTACTGCATTACTTGTTTATTTTTAAGCGCCGAAGTCAAATGTGTTGACTTTCTCACCTTTTTTATTTACCCACTTTAACAGGAATGTGCAAATATGCTCTGGTTTAAGATTTATCCCTCATTATTATATAAGAATATTTGTATACTAGTATATTCAAATAAGTCTTGTGGGTTCCATTGACCACAGAGGTAACCCAGTAAGTGGATATTCAGCGTGACTTAAGATTTTTCCTCAAGACTGAGTGGATTGTTACTTGGCATGTTTCTACCAAATCAACAATTATTTCCTCCTAGATATACCAGATACCAATAACCTCACTGAGTGTTTTGACAAAAAAAAAACGTAATGCCTCATCCTCAAAGGTAAAGCAAATGAAAGCATTTCCACGCCAGGGTTAGAATTAAATTATTTGGTTTGACATCATATTTCATTCACTTTAAAGTAGCTTTAATGTTACATTATTGCTGTTTGTTTGCTTGTCTGATTTGAATTTTGAAAACATTTTTTTTTCTGTAATATAATTAATTTGGTACCTGGATTTGAAATAAAAGGTGTATTCTTTGTAGTGTAACCAATAATACCAATTTTTTCACCCCCTCTCTCCATGATAAAATTTTTTACGAATTTATTCTGAATGCTCGGCTCTCTGGCTGTATCAATATTACAGCTAACGATTGTAAAATTATTGCTATTTTCTAGAAGTGTCATTAGTCCTGAAATGCCTCTATCGAATTCATGATTCCCGAAAGCCTGAAAATAATAAAAAGAGGTTTGTGTAAATGATAATCTCCTACAGGTAAAATGAAAACATTCTTACTCGTTTGAAAATATGCTTTTATCTGTAGGAAATTGAATAATCTGTGTAATCATTAACTTTTTTTCAAATCTTTGAATTACATTTAATCTTTTGTTAAGCAAAACACTGTTGATATAAATGCATTTGTGGTTATTTTTCATTAAACATTGGTTAAAACGCATATATTGCACTTTCAACTGATCATGCTTTGCATGGACAAAGGCTCATTTTGTCCGGTTTAAAACTTTCCACACTTAGCAAAAGGAAGCAAATTGTGTAAAAGTGTATCATAACAGAATCAAATCGGCAATTGGCAAATAGTCTATTAGCATTGCCTAATGTTCATTGATTCGCTTATGAAGAAGAAAACTTAAATCTCCAACAGAACATCACAAAATATTAAAATAATATATGATCACACCAAATCAGTGACTTTTGAACTGTTGTATTTCTTGACACAATATATGACTTTGATTTGATTTATTGGTGTTTAATACCACTTTCAGCACTATGAGCTATTTTGTGGCGGTCAGTTTTTATTGGTAGAGAAAGCCGGAGTGCCCGGAGAGAACCTTTGACGTTTGACAGGAAAAATAACCATCCTTGTCAATTGAGATTGGAGTCGAGAGAACCTGCCACGTGCGGGGTTCAACTCACAACCTCAGTGTTAACATACTAGTTAAACAGTAGTTGAACTACTTAGACCACTCAGCCCTCGACAAAATATATGAAATAGTTAAAGACGAGGTTTTAAGAACAAACATTTGGAACATGCTATAAAACAAATAAGTCATTATTTCTAGTTGTCTACAAAAATCTGCACATTTATGAAATTCGTATTTCGATTGATATAATATGGGGTTTTATTGGACACATATAAGCGTCTGCTTGAAGTGAAATTAACTTCGATTTGTGCAATGTGTGCTTTTTGTATGTGAGTTTTGTTATGACTTTCGGGATTTATATCGCTATTTATTTTAAACTTATCACGTTATTTAATATACCTCTTGAGCATCTATTCTAAATCCTCTCTTTCTCAATTACGAAAAAAAAAATGACCGATTTCAATAGATTTTTAAATGTCTTCAATACTTCATTCATTTGAATTAAGTGACACTTAGTTCGCTTACCTATTTCTCATTATTATACAAATCAAAGTGTGTATTAATATCTTATCTTTTGCGTGTCTTTTAATACTTAGAGTGAACGAGTCAAATTCTAACCTTTTTATGTTTGACAAAATAAAATATTGCCCTCATAAATATATCATATTTACAAATAAGATTTAAAAATAAAAACGAAAATTGAAAACATTGTTTTGCTAGGTATTTTATTTATTTAAATGTAGTATACTGTGGATCATATTGTAAATAAGTATTTACAATTTGATTGTCATAGTAATGGGGTGTGCATTCAGTGAAATCGAAGTTTCTACAGAAAATCATTACCGATGTTCCAAAAGGAACTATTGGTTTTCAGAAAGAAAAAGCAATATAGAAGTTTATAAAAGAAAAGGACTACGACAGTTTCTTAAAATAATTGTAAGGGAAAAAATAAGAACATATTAAAGAATATTGAAAATTAGGTTGAAATGGAACCATTTTCCAAATTAGATATGGTAAGATCAGATGTTTCAAACTGATAAACATCAGAATTAATTTAGTAATAGTAGTGAAACGACTGAAAACTGAAAAAATGATATAGAAATTAAGAATGAGTCCTCTATGTAAATATGACGTTCATGTAGAAGATGACAAACACGTTAGAATAACATGCAAATAAATGATCTTCAAGATTTACGTAGCATAGTATTTTTTCAGACACTAACTACTATTGCACCATCATTTAATCTCTGTAATCTTCAGAAAAGTTTGACTTATATTTCAAATATAAAAAAGGAGATGTGGGGTATACGTCTATGAGACATCAACCAAACGACACTAGTAATACAAAGACATCTTAAAAAGAGCAATATGGTGTCTTCAACAACATAGACAGGCGGCTATATAATATGTCAAGCTCTTATAAAATATTGAATGAAGTAACAGACTTTCAAAGATCTAACACCAAATTTTCCAAATAACAAAAAAAAACAAATTTAAAATCGATAATTGTATCAGCAAATGCTGTATCAAAGGTTTTAATGATCATGAAATACATTATTAGTAGTTTAATCCATTTTTTTAATATATCTATGCTTACTGTTTGTTCATACCATTTTAAACATTTTTTTTTCGTTTTGAATATGTATGTGCATACTGTTTGCGCATACCATTTAAAAAAAAACTTTAGTTTTGTTGGTTTTTTTTACAATAATAAACATTTAGATTTTTACTCAATAAAATATTTGAACTCTGAACGTTAAACTTTATACTTGGCTAACAGACAAGAACGTTGTCAAATTCAAGTTGTTATGCAATGATCTTTATAATACTACAATTAAAGTTATGATGAATTTTTCCTCAGTTGTCAATGCTTCAGTAATGGTCGTAAACATATGTTTACTCATCAAATTATTACAACAAGGGTCTCACTCCCTCAAGCAAAGGTGACGTGAGCTTGTTCAGGTAAGACTTAATAGTTATGCATGATTATATAGCCTTCCGACCTGGTAATTAAAAATAAATTGCTTAAACGCACGAAATTCATAATTGTTTAATGACAACACGGTTTAGACTATATGGTGTATATCAACAACCTGGTATATTTTTATGTTTCCGCCGCAGCGGAGGGGGCATTAAGTGTTACCCTTGTCCGTCCGTACGTACGTCCCCAAAATTAGGTTCCGTTCTCTAACTTTAGTTTGCCTTAACCAAATGTTATGAAACTTGTACACAATGCTTATTATCATAAAATACAGATTAAGTTCGAATTTGGGTGGCATAACTTTTACCGTTCTTGATTTATGCCTCTTTATAACGTTATATGCAAGCGGGGCATCATCTGTGTACCATGGACACATTCTCCATTTATTTTTTAACTTTTGTAATGAAGCCTGATGTTTTGCACCAATTAAGTCTTCTTCTTCTCTCTTTAAGTAAACAATATACCATGCAGCAGACTGATGATTAATTACTGTTGCAGGCATGGCCTATTTACAAAAATTAACAAGAAGTTGTGTTTGAAGATTTGCGGGCATATATGTTTTTTTTTAATTTAATTTCATCGGGCAATTAGAAACCAAGTTCAAAAGAGCTATTTTTAATTTGATTTCCCTCCCTTAACAGTGTCCACAATTCTTGTACATCAATACATGTATAAGAATCTTGTACATCAATACATGTATAAGAATCTTGTACATCAATTCATGTATAAGAATTTTGTACACCAATACATGTATAAGAATCTTGTACATCAATACATGTATAAGAATCTTGTACATCAATACATGTATAAGAAATAAATTCATACACACATCCTTATTGACATGCTAATACATATAATTGATTTCTTTTTCATGGCTTCTTTAAAATTATTTCGCACGTATACATAATGACAGTTACATTTTACTTCATTATATTTAAACATAGATTGAAGTTAGATTTACAAGTTGTCACTAGACATAGGCAGATTTATACCTTTAATTGACTGGCAATGAAGAGTAAGTCGGCTTTGTTAAAAATTGTCTGACCTTGTTCTAATTTAAAATCTTTACAACACAATCACTTGTGCACATAAAACATCTCGCTACTGCACTTAACATGCTTATATGTTATGACGTAAAGGGTCTTAGGGTCAAAAGGTACTAAATTGTCGGATTTTAAAAAAAGATATTGAAGCAGAGTGAAATCAATTTTCATTAAGTTAAACTGTCTGCTAAGAACGCGCAAAAGGTGGGCTATCCACTTGAAGTGGTTGATAGAACATGTGACAAGTATCAAGTCCTATCCAAATCTCTCCGAGGTAGTTCGGCTAAAACCTTTTTTATTCCTCTTGTATTTCCCTTTTCCAATCTATATTTTGGCTTATAACTAAAAATTACTAAACATAAAACTTCACAATCAATTCCACTTAAGAAATAATTAGTTCATTTCCATGTTCAATGCTCATTTTAGCAAGGGTAGGCATTATATTTGTTAATATCTTTAAATCGAGCGTAAGTTTATCCATGTTATAAATGAGCATGTCAAGGTAGAATTATTACGCTTCTAATAGGAAAGTTTAAACTTTTGTAATTCAAAGCGGACCTAAAAGAAGCCACATTCGAAATGCAACGATTTCAATTTGATAAAGCACAAACGTTATAAAATACCAACTGTTTCACGATTAAAAAATGAATTGAAGAATGTAAACTTTATTGTAGAATGGTTTTATTTAGATTCCTACAGAGCAACACCAATAAAAATGTTCATTTTGTTCTCCGGTGTTGTGTTCAAAATACAATTGACGTTGCATGAACCCCATACGTTTTCTTTTCTTTTCTATAATGTGTAACGGGAAATGGTATTCCACTTGCTTCGTTGTCTTCCCAAGTTCCAGAAAGCTTTACAATTTTATTTTTTCTCCATCCAAACCTATCAAAAATCTCCTTCGCCTCGTACTCATATGTTACATAAATATACAGACTGAAAGAGCAAAATGACTACGATTTCGACAAAACATTAAGAAACAGACATAATATAATACTGAAAAATCAAGACTGCTATAAGATTTAAAAAGATAATTAAAAAAAAACGTAGAAACATGAAGATTATGGGATGTTTCCCTTTTCTCTTCTTTAAGTTAATAAAAGTATATAAAAGTACAGGATACATGGTAGAAAAGTTTTTTTTGTAAAATATGGTATTGTACAAACCATTGCATCATATCCTATGAGGTTCATGTAGGTGTGTACGATGGTCCCTCCGTGATATGTGAACCACAGGGTCCCCTGATACTGGTCTCCTCCATCCAGAAATAATGTATTGGGATACAGTCTCTTTATTTCATCCACTTTGTTCTTAAGTCTCGCCATACCCCCGTAACAATTTCCTGGGTCATCACACTGACCACCGTATTTATTCATCTCTTCATAATGTGCATGGACGTCATTTGTATGTAAAATTGTTAAATTAAATGAAATAACGCCTCTCACTAACAGAAAAATAATTATCGCTGTTAGATACATCATGCTGCTAGACATATATATTGTAACTCTTAAAAATATACTAGTTCATGTACTCATCCTATTTAGGTAAATCCTGTTTAATCACAAACTTTTAAATACATCTATATAGTATATCATTGAATATTTATTGACACACGTTTTCATGTATACTAGAACGTAAGTCACAAAGTCCTGATGAATTCAGAAGTAATGTTTACTGTTATCTAACCAAATAGTCAACGGGACACATAACCACTGGAGTGTTAAAAATGGACGTAAAATGTTGTACCTTTAAAAATTAAGAGGTAAATCATCATACAGTAGTTCAAATACTGTCTATTAACCTTTTTCTGTCAATTATTAAATTCAGTCAGTTTTCAATTAAAGAGCTGAATATGTGACATACCGTTCAAATTATTTTTAAATAATATACTTTGTGTGTGTATGTGTGAAGACATCATGTTATCTCTTGTATGGTGTATAAGATGTTATTCTATAAGATGTTACTGAATTGACAATGATTACAAATGAAATAACTATCATAATCATAATGTAACCACCCACGGCTATACATGGTGAATGATAACTTTATCGTTTTCTTGGGTTGGAAAGTCAGTATTTGTAGAGCAACAGTTATTTTTGATACTTTTATATCTTGAAATTTACAACGGTGTGGAATTGTTCATTGGGTTTAGATCCTCTTTTTATGATTTAAAAAAATGTAAATATCAACTTAATTAAACTGAAACCTCCTCTCTCTCCTTTCCAGTTGGAACCCCTAAAATCCGCCTTTTTCGTAATTTCTGGTTAGCACACACACGTACAGAATATTAATTAACAGTCGGAATATATACAGAACAAATTAGTTAATGTTTTGTGTTACAGTATGGCGACACAATTATTCTCATTTCCTGATGCATTTCTAGTTTGTACACTTTCGATTGCTTAAATATAGAATAAAGGTGTTATTCTTATAATTGATATATTTGGCACTTTTCCGAAGTCTAAAACCGATGATCAAAATAAGAGCTCCATCTATATAATTATGTGAATACTATTTTAAGTTTTGTTGTCGAATTTAGATTCAGCTAACTATTTTTGTTAAAAAGGACCACATATAACCGTTGCACTACGCTGTACATGAAAATTATCGACACAATATGTGAGCAGGTATCGATACATATTCAACAATACACAAGTCAAATAAAAATAGAAAGTTTATATCGTGCAATAAACCAATATTACTACAACAAAGTTTATTTACTTAGTTTGTTACTGGTAACCTATCCGATATCTTTATTTTTAAAAGTAGTGTAATGTTTTATTTTCTATGTTGTGATGGAGTGACCCTAAATGGTATCATAATGGCATTATAATGTAATAACTAATTTGTTAAAAATATGTTAGGCGCTCTTCTAAATTCACTATGAATAAAATAACCAAACAAATAATAGCCCATACATAATTAAATATCACCTCGGGGTTTACACATACACCTATAAGGTTAACGGTTATGAATGAAAGAAGAGTGGGATACTAGGCAATGATAATTCAACCCAACACGGAGCACTATGATCTCTAGACATTTCGTGACAGTGTATTATGTAGGTGCTTGTATTAGTCATGTATTCAACCCAACACGAAGCACTATGATCTCTAGACATTTCGTGACAGTGTATTATGTAGGTGCTTGTATTAGTCATGTATTCAACCCAACACGAAGCACTATGATCTCTAGACATTTCGTGACAGTGTATTATGTAGGTGCTTGTATTAGTCATGTATTCAACCCAACACGAAGCACTATGATCTCTAGACATTTCGTGACAGTGTATTATGTAGGTGCTTGTATTAGTCATGTATTCAACCCAACACGGAGCACTATGATCTCTAGACATTTCGTGACAGTGTATTATGTAGGTGCTTGTATTAGTCATGTATTCAACCCAACACGGAGCACTATGATCTCTAGACATTTCGTGACAGTGTATTATGTAGGTGCTTGTATTAGTCATGTATTCAACCCAACACGGAGCACTATGATCTCTAGACATTTCGTGACAGTGTATTATGTAGGTGCTTGTATTAGTCATGTATTCAACCCAACACGAAGCACTATGATCTCTAGACATTTCGTGACAGTGCATTATGTAGGTGCTTGTATTAGTCATGTATTCAACCCAACACGGAGCACTATGATCTCTAGACATTTCGTCACAGTGTATTATGCAGGTGCTTGTATTAGTCATGTATTCAACCCAACACGGAGCACTATGATCTCTAGACATTTCGTGACAGTGTATTATGTAGGTGCTTGTATTAGTCATGTATTCAACCCAACACGAAGCACTATGATCTCTAGACATTTCGTGACAGTGTATTATGTAGGTGCTTGTATTAGTCATGTATTCAACCCAACACGGAGCACTATGATCTCTAGACATTTCGTGACAGTGTATTATGTAGGTGCTTGTATTAGTCATGTATTCAACCCAACACGGAGCACTATGATCTCTAGACATTTCGTGACAGTGTATTATGTAGGTGCTTGTATTAGTCATGTATTCAACCCAACACGGAGCACTATGATCTCTAGACATTTCGTGACAGTGTATTATGTAGGTGCTTGTATTAGTCATGTATTCAACCCAACACGAAGCACTATGATCTCTAGACATTTCGTGACAGTGTATTATGTAGGTGCTTGTATTAGTCATGTATTCAACCCAACACGGAGCACTATGATCTCTAGACATTTCGTCATAGTGTATTATGCAGGTGCTTGTATTAGTCATGTATTCAACCCAACACGGAGCACTATGATCTCTAGACATTTCGTGACAGTGTATTATGTAGGTGCTTGTATTAGTCATGTATTCAACCCAACACGAAGCACTATGATCTCTAGACATTTCGTGACAGTGTATTATGTAGGTGCTTGTATTAGTCATGTATTCAACCCAACACGAAGCACTATGATCTCTAGACATTTCGTGACAGTGTATTATGTAGGTGCTTGTATTAGTCATGTATTCAACCCAACACGAAGCACTATGATCTCTAGACATTTCGTGACAGTGTATTATGTAGGTGCTTGTATTAGTCATGTATTCAACCCAACACGAAGCACTATGATCTCTAGACATTTCGTCACAGTGTATTATGTAGGTGCTTGTATTAGTCATGTATTCAACCCAACACGGAGCACTATGATCTCTAGACATTTCGTCACAGTGTATTATGTAGGTGCTTGTATTAGTCATGTATTCAACCCAACACGGAGCACTATGATCTCTAGACATTTCGTGACAGTGTATTATGTAGGTGCTTGTATTAGTCATGTATTCAACCCAACACGAAGCACTATGATCTCTAGACATTTCGTGACAGTGTATTATGTAGGTGCTTGTATTAGTCATGTATTCAACCCAACACGAAGCACTATGATCTCTAGACATTTCGTGACAGTGTATTATGTAGGTGCTTGTATTAGTCATGTATTCAACCCAACACGAAGCACTATGATCTCTAGACATTTCGTGACAGTGTATTATGTAGGTGCTTGTATTAGTCATGTATTCAACCCAACACGAAGCACTATGATCTCTAGACATTTCGTGACAGTGTATTATGTAGGTGCTTGTATTAGTCATGTATTCAACCCAACACGGAGCACTATGATCTCTAGACATTTCGTGACAGTGTATTATGTAGGTGCTTGTATTAGTCATGTATTCAACCCAACACGGAGCACTATGATCTCTAGACATTTCGTGACAGTGTATTATGTAGGTGCTTATATTAGTCATGTTAGTTGTTATTGTCTTTGAACTATCTTAAAGTAACTTTGAGTACGATCGATACCTAGTGTTTATTTTCTTTATATTAGTTGTTTTTTTTTTTTGCCAATCTGATAAGTCAAGCCATATACAACTTATTTTTACAGATTGTTCTTATGCTGTGTTGTTACACCACTGTCCCAGATTAGGGGAGGGTTGAGCGCTAACAACCATGTTTATATACCTGTATGTGCACGACTGTCCCAAGTCGGGAGCCTGTAATTCAGTGGTTGTCGTTGTTTGCTGTCTGTATGTGCACGACTGTCCCAAGTCGGGAGCCTGTAATTCAGTGGTTGTCATTGGTTACTGTCTGTAATATTGTTTTTCGTTTATTGTTTTGTCATATATCAGGCCGTTTTTTTTCTCGTTTGAAATGTTTTTTTTCTTGTCATTTCGGGATCTTTTATAGCTGAATTTACGGTATGGATTTTCCTCATTGGTTTAGGCCGCCAGTGACCCTAAGTTGTTGCATAAATTCACGTCATTTGGAATTTAGTGGATAATTGTCTAATTGGCAATCTTACCACATCGCCTTATTAAATGGCAGAAATTTATCAAAATATAGAATCGAGTGTTTAAAGGTATAGCTTTTAGTGCCTTAATAGACCTTAGAGGGTTTGAACTGTTCTGATTATTCGAATCTCTTCTGTTTTACGATTTTATGCCTTCCAAAAAGTAAAATAACAAAAATACCTAACTCAAAGGAAAATTCAAATCGGAAAGTCTCTTATAAAATGGCAAAATCAAAAGCTCAAACACATCAAAAGAATGGAACACAACTGTCATATTCCTGACTTGGTACAGGCATTTCCTTATGTAGAAAATGGTGGATTAAACCTGGTTGTATAGCTAGCTAAACCTCACACTTGTATGACAGTCGAATAAAGTTCCACTATATTGACAATAATGTGTAAAAATGTCAAAAATAGTGATACAGCAGTCAACATTGTGTTATAATCTTAATAACTATAAGAATAAACAAATATGTCAACAAAGAAAAACAAAATGGCAAATAGACAAAGCACATAAGCAAAAATGAAAGACAAGAATACAAAAAATGCACACAGCAAAATAACACAATGGCGGGATGTATAAGTACCAAGCCACGTCTAAAGGATATTACCAAAAATGGACAAAACAGTAAAGGTTTATAATTTACAAAGACAAATAAAAGAACACAATAACACGTAATTAAGATGATAAACAACGTCAGTACCTAGAATCTATACTTCAAGACCATCGTGTATTATTTGTGAAGTTGATACGGAATATTTATCAACAAGGTCTTGGTATCTTCCGATGAACTTTTTTAGAAAAAGGACGAGACGTTCTTTGACATAACCCTGGTTCATCAACTTTCTGCTCAGACACTGGTCGAATTCAAGGTATAATTCTAAAAATGAGGCGGAGGAAGCCGTGGCTGATGTTTCTTTAATTTCTAGTTCTGGAGGA